ACAATATGGCTGTGCTTCCAGGCTGCTGGTGGAGTTGGTCATCTCCAGCATCACCTTCAGCAGCCATTCCTGTTGGTCATCCCAGCAGGAGTTTCCTCAGCCAGGTTTTTTCTAGAGCTGTCTCTCCTAGAAGTCCTCACAGCTGTGGCAGCACAAGAGGCCTTGGGGCAGCTCAGCCCAGCAAAGCTTTGTGTCTCTCTTTTCCTTCAGGCTATCCTGGGAAAATTGCTCTTCGGGGAGACGTGGACACCTCTGTGGTGGGTCGGCCTCACCATGACAGTCTGTGGACTCATGCTGCTGCACACTGCTGCACCCCAGCTGGTGCAGGTCCCAGCGGAGAAGAAGGAGTGATAGTTCCTTCCAGATAGCTGAAGGGGTCACGGTGCCATGCTTCCCTCTCCAGCCTGTCTCAGGACAGCATCCCCAGTCCCCACTGGCCTCTGAACACATCAGCCACCGAACTGCTAACCCCTGCTCACTGCTCATCTGCTGACTTCCAAAATCGAGCTGGTCACATCCTTCCTGGTGGTGGTATGTGGCAGTGGCAGCTTCGGAGGGAGCTGGTCAACTCTGAGTCAGTATGGTGAAAATCAGGGCCAGAGGCTTATCAGCCACTCCTCCTCTTCACACCCTGTGGCTGTGGAGCTTTCTCAGTTTGGGGAATGCTGAAAGTATACAAACTAAACATAGTGGCTGTGGAAGGAGCTTGTACATCAATATTTTTCCATGAAAGGACCTATACCAAAATAGAAAAGTAATTAGAGTTAGATGCTGAAGGTTATTTCTGCTCTGTTGTTCCTGACTTCCTGTCTCTTGAAATGGTTCTGTGCCCACTGCTACCTGTAAGGCTGTGAAGACTTTCATTAATTCTTTCAGCTTCCTCTATCAGTCACATACACCTTTTAACTTGTCATTTGTATCTGACATCTAGAATTTTCACTTACCCATTCCTGACATGTTAGTCACTGTAAGGTTGCGGCGCTTTCCTTTAAACCTTTACCCAGCAGAGTTTTGATCACCATTCCTGCGTTGTGTAGGTCAAACTAATTTTGGGACAGTTCAACAGGCAATCTGCTTTCACTTGGAGTGTTCATGTTCAACACGTCTTTCATCCCCATTCAAGTTGACAACTGCTTTAATGTTTGGTAAAAGGGAGTTTCTCAAGACACATTTTTTCTACACCTCTGGATGATGCTTATTCCCATTGATGTGATGTGGTCAACCAAATCACTGGTATCTGCTAAATTTTGCATCAGTCATTACTCTGTGTTCAGGTGTCAATTTGGTGAATGTGTCACGAATCATCATTTTTAAGGTATTGGATTCATTCCCCTGCCCACTTCTTTTTTTTCCTCCTTTGAAATTCTTCGGTTGGAATCCTAATTAAGAAATATCATGATGCCTATAAATGTATGCATCATGCTGGTGATATCACTTGCTTGCTCTGGGCTTGCCAGGTTGTCTCTGTCAGACAGAAGGTGAGTCGCGGCTGTGGCATGTGCAGAAAACCTAAGGACACATTTCTGTGAGCATCTGTATCACAACCTGTCAGGTCTGTCATGACTGGCAGATCTGTGCTGTGTCAAGTGTAAAATAGACTTGTGGATGGAAATGCCACCAGGGTTGGGTTTGTGCCTTCTTTGAATCAGAAGAGTTATTGTCTTTCAGAAGAGGACAAGAGACATTTGCTCTGTTCCCTGCCATTCTAGCTCACTACATCTAGCAGCCATGTCCCAAGAGGGCTAAAGCCTTCGCCTCTCCCCTCAATGTGCTCTCAAGTCTTCCTGTAAAAGAGGGGAGCTGCATATGTGGGGGAGAGGGCAGAGTGCTCTGAGTGCCTTCCCTCCCTGCCACCATTAGTTTTGCAGCTAGGGAGCTCTCTGGTGTCAGTCGTGGTAGGATGGGACACATCCAGTTGCCTGGAAAACTGGGACCTGACACAAGGACCCAGCATCTGTCATAGGTCTGTAGACATGACAGCCAGGAACCATGCATTTCTAAGTACATCAGGTCTCCTTAGATCTTCATAGATGATGGAAAATTAATGGAGCCTGATTTATTTGCCCTGGTTATTAATCCTCAGCCAGCTGTAAGCCATGGCTGCCTTCATGCAAACACCAGTAGAAGAACCAGGCTTTCTGGTTAATTTGGCTGTGGTCCCATTTCCTAACAAACCATTTGGAAAGCTTTTTAACCTGGACTATCTCAAAACTGACATTTCTTTATTACAGTCATTGTTGGAGGTCAAGTTTTAGGAGGTGTTTCTTCGGAAGTGGAACGTGTGCAGAAGGTGTGAGCAGCACTTTACTTTTTGGTGCTCACCTTAAGGTGGATGAATATAAACCAGGGCTGTAAATTCTCTCATAAATACTTGAAGGTGGAAATGGAAGTAAGTTTTTCTCCAATTCCCGTGGTAAGATAAGAGTTCATTTTATGGCAGAATCCCACCCCTCTTGTGTACACAAGAGTTTGGCCATGTCTGCCAGCGGGGCCAGGGCTACAAGAAAAATTGTAATCACTGTGTGGCAAAGCAATGTACTTCTGGTAAACCATTCATATGGGATCATCCAAAATGTGTCTGAAGGTAATTAAAAAAAAAAAAAAAAAAAGGAGGGGGATTTCCAAAATAAAACTGTGTCCAAAGCTCAATGGCTGATTTTTTTTTTTAATTTATTTACAGACGTTTTAGACCACACATACACACAATAAAACAATATGAGACTAATGAATGTGCTGTGTTTGACAAGTCAGTGGTTCAGATGTGGTGGACTTTGTAAGATGGCTGAAGATTATGGCCAACTCCAAGACCTTGGTTTACCAGGGCAGACAGTGGCTTACTTTTTTGTGGGAACTACAGCAGTGTGCTTGTGTGAAGCTTTTGCTCAGTTGAGGTGAGGTGTTATTAGAGAAGAGTCTTGGGCACATGTTTCTACCCAAATTCCAGCAAAATGCACTTCTATGTGCACATCTCACAGAAACACAGTGCTGTATCTCTACAGCACTGGTGGATAGGGGCAAAGCCATGGATGTTGTCTACCTGGGCTTGTGCAAAGCATTAGACACTGTCCTGCACGACATTCTTGTCTCTAAATTGGAGACATGGGTTTGATCCCAGGCACACCTACAAGCTGGGCTGAAACATGATTGACAGCAGACTTGTGGAGAAGGACTTAAGGGTGTTGGCTGACCAGAAACTCAACATGAGCCAGTAGTGTAGGCTGGCAGCCCAGAAAGCCAAACAAATCCTGGGCTGCATCTAAAGGAGCGTGGCCAGCAAGTGGAGGGAGGTGATTCTGTCTCTGTACTCTGCTCTTGTGAGACCCCTGTGGGTCTGCATCCAACATTCTGTGGTCCTGCATCCAACTCTGGTGCCCCTGACGCAGGAAGAACATGCAACTGTTGGAGCAAGTCCAGGAGGCCACAAAATTGATAAGAGGACTGGAGCACCTGCCCTAGGAAGACAGGCTGAGAAAGTTGGGGCTGTTGAGCCTGGAGAAGAGAAGGTTGCGTGGAGACCTCATAGCAACCTTCCAGTATCTGGAGGGGACCTACAGGGAAACCAGAGAGGGGCTCTTCATTGGGAACTGCAGTGACAGGACAAGGAGTAATGGGGGAAAACTGTAAGAAGGGAAATTTAGGTTAGATGAAAGAAATCTTTACCAGAAGAGGTTGCCCAGAGAAGCTGTGGATGTCCCATCCCTGGCACTATTCAAGGCCAGGTTGGATGGAGCTCCGAGCAGCCTGGTCTAGTGGAAGTTGTCCCTGCTCCTGGCCGGGTGTTTGGAACTAGATGATCTTCAAGGTGCGTTTCAACACAAACCATTCCATGATTCTCTCACCTCCCAAGTGCTGGTTGTAATGAGTCTTTCCTGCACCAAACTCTCATTCTCAAACAGCACTTTGTTTTTCAGTATCTTGTTCATCATCAGGCATGGCCATACTGTGTCATACTTTTAAAGAGTAGGACAAGCAGGTGCATGGTTAACAGGAAGGCTCACAATGACACTTAGGAAGATTCAAATAAGAATATTTGAATTAATGGTGGGAAACATTACAAAAATCTGTTGTATAAACCAGGTCCTGGAGTATTGTATTCTAAGGTAAACAATGTCTCATATACCTTTACAAGGAACAAAGCCAAATGGAATTACAGTTTCAGTTGAACCATAAACCATAATTTGACTGATTAGATAAGGGAATATATATAAAACTTTTAAATGTCTCTGTTGTTATTGACAAGGAGTCACTGAAAGTTTGTACAGCATCTCAGTCACAGCATATATTGAAATCACTTGAAGGATGGTATGTCTGCCTAGGTGATAATTATTTGAAGTAGATGTGATAAATAAGTCTGGTAGATTGTTCTGCTGAGTTTGGTATATTCAAAATTTTCAGGGAATTTGACTGAGTGCCCTCTGCTGACCCTTCAGAGACCTTAAATGATCACATTGCAAGAGTGTCCCCCACACACATAATTACACTATCTTGAAAGCAGTGGGCTGTTTTCGAAGAAGGAAGTCTTGTGACACACCATGCCAGAAGAGTGCCTCTGACCTTGCCTGGTACAGAAAAAAAACAGGAAATTAGGAATAAATGGGTACTAATCTTGACATGTTTGGGGTGCTCTTCTGCAGAAGAGCAGCAGCAAACCTTCATTTCGGGTAATCTGAGAAGTGCAGAGGGAAGTCACACAATATGGGCACTTATCACAGCAAATGGTGTGGATAAGTGTCTGCAGCTCACTTGATCTCGGAGAAAAATCTGGGGTGAGCTCAGGTCAGTGGTAAAAGCCTTCCCAGGAGAACCAGGGCTTTGCCTCTAAAAATCATGTGTGTGGAGTGTTGTACCACAAGACTTTTAATGGAAAGGATTGAAGAAGACAACATTCCCGAAATTCCACTTAGGCAGATGGTTGTTTGTTGGTCTTGGTGTTTCAGTGCCCTTTCTAAGGCAAGTCTCTTTCCACATATTTAACACCAAAAAAAAAAAAAAAAAAAAAAAAAAGGTTAGCAACTTGCTTGTAAAATCAGAAATGGGGTCCTGGGCCATGGACAGGGAGGAGGGGGAAGCCCTGTGGGCTGGGCAGTGGCAGCCAGTCCCAGTGGTGCTTTCAGAGTCCTTACATAGTCAATGGTTCCACCTGGAGTGTTTTTTCTTTCCAGTGCTGGACTCCCAAATTCAAGAGGGGTGTAGGAAACTAGTCTGGCTCAAGGATTCCAAGATGGCATGGGCCTAGGAGGATAGGCTGAGGGATGTGGGTTGGTTGAAGACAAGGAAGGCTCAGGCTGACCCAAATAGCCTTGGAAGGGAGTTCCAGAGGCAGCATAGAAATGGCCAGTACAGACACATGTTCTCTCAGGACTTTCAAGCTGGCCGTCAAGGGAAGAAATGTCACTAAAGAGGTTAGTTGCCTTTACAGGCAGCTGAGTCTCTGCCCATGGAGGTTTTCGAGACTCAGCTAGACAAAACCTCAAGTGACTCAATCTAGTGTTGGTGACCATCCTGCCTGGGCAGACAGATGGAATTCCTGTGACCTAGGGGCCAATTTCATGATCATCACCATCTATAACTGGAAACTGGTTTGACCTCCTGCCTCCATGTTTAGTAGCTCCGATTAAATCCTGCTGTGCCACAGAAAGGAGGTTCCTCTTTGAGGCACCCTGCAGACCTAAGCTGCCAGAGGCTTGTACTCTAACTACAGAAACCATAATGGATGCTTGCATGTGCGTTCATAGCCTGAAAAAAAAATTATCAAAGGAGAAGGACTCCACGATAGCGAAGTGCTTTGTGACTTTGAACCTTTGCTGGTTGAGGGGATAGCCAGGTGAGTGCAATGTTAGCGATGGCTCCCAGGGCTGGGCAGGGCTGACCAGCAGCTCCCCAGTATGGGGTGCCCAGAGGGATGACTGGGAAGCCTGAACCTTCTGTTACTCTGTCCCGTGGCTGTGTCAGCACCATGGTGACCCATGGCCAGCAGCAGCACTTGGCATACACAAGGCTGTTTGCCCTGGGAGCAGCCAACCAGTAAGCTGTGCTATTCACTCTCCAACTAAGTTTTTCAGTTTCTGGCTGTTTAATAACATTATTAGTTGTTTCAATTTTCCTTTGAGGTTTAAGGAAGGGTGTCTGTGAGTGGCTGTACTAATTGCCAAGATTTCCTAAGCAGCTCCCTTCACGCCCTTGAAGTCCTGAGGGATTGCTGGTGCTGGGTTAAAGCCTAGGGAAATCCTGGGTGGGGCCTCACACTCCCATTTTGCTAAGAGGGAGATGTACACCCTGCTTAGCCCCTGCACAGGTTTTGCAGAACACAGAGGCCCCAGTGCACCCTGAGGGGATAAATCCATGATAATGGAAATAAGCAAGAGGGAAAGGCTGCAAGGAGTGGTAGTAGGTGGGGTGCTGCAGATGGTGCTACCACTTTCTGTACATTTTGAACCTGTTGCTCAGTCTCGTTTTGCTCAGAGGTCACTAGGAGCCTGTGAGAGTCGGGGCTGGGGCTCGGCAATTCAGGGTGAGCAATTCAGTGTGAGCAATTCAGGGCCTCCCTTGGCACAAGCAGAGCATCTCTGGTTTTGCAGCAAGAGGTGAGAGTTGGACAGATCTGCTTGGCACTGGGACCTGCAGTGTGCAACGTCTGAACAGCAGCCAGGGCTTCAACTCTAATTGCTTTCAATAAATTAAGGCAACACTTAAGGAGAAATGAACAGAGCTCCAGGGAAACATGAGGCATTACAAATATATTTTCCAATGCCAGTTGACTGTTTCCTCATCCAGGTAAGTTAAGTGACTTTTTCCCTTCAGTACACTCCAGTGTTAGGCAATCACAAGCATGATTCTGCTAGAAACCATGTTGCATGAAAATGCTTCCTAGAAAACCCTGGTAGTCATGGAGTGGAGCATCAGGAGCTGCTGTGAAAGACAACAGCCTGGATGCTGTGATGAGGAGTGGGTGGGAATACTCTGACTTGGTTGCTTTTCAGGGCAAATAGCCACAGATCCCTTGTCTCAGTCAGTCCCACCATACCTGGAGAGCGTCACTTGATGGATGCATTCAGAGATGGGACAAAACCTTTGCACCTGCTGTGGTTTTGGTCTGCTCTGGTGCAGCACATGAGCCAGATCCCTAGCACTGTGTGAGACCATGTTCTCCTTGCAAACCTTGGTCTAGGAAGTTTCTCCCTTCCCACCACGTGACAATTTCATTTGCAATGCTGGCTGGCGGGAATGCGACATGGCTCAGTGTGACCTGTAGTCTGTAGACCATGTACATCTTGATGTGTATAGACACACACCCACACAGACAGGTGGGAGAAGCTGTTACACCTCCCCTGCAGAAAGAAATGTTACTCGAAGACACTGGCATGCAAGTTTCTGTTTTCTCACTTAGACATTTGCAACCAAACACATATCCTGTAGGTGGGAAGGTATTCTTTCAGTATTTTCTTTGTTCGCTGGAACTGTTTTAAATACATGGATAAACTATTTTATCCCTGATTCAATATTTGCACTGTTGATTTCTTTGCCCTTACCATTTATTTTTTGCAGCCCTCTTTTGCTTTATTTTTCCTCGTACCTTTTCATATTGTTTGCTGTAGGTGTAGGCTGTGGGTATGCGTTCACACTGCAATCAGTCAGTGTGGTCATACATGCAAGCAAGTTCATGGCTCAGTGGCAGTAGGGTGGATACAGCCCTGGAATAACTACACCCACCCACTTGTTGGACCCTTTCCAAACACACACTGTAGGTTATGGGATGGCATGGTGAGGGAAGTCCTTCACCCCGTTTCAGGTCTCTGGATGGGATGAAGGTGTGAGGAGGGAATTAGAAGGCTAGGGCCATTCAGACTGCAAAAGAGACTGTGGTGCTTTGTAATAGGGGCTGAGAAGACCCTAAGTTGCACAGAGAAAGTAAACTGGAATAATGAAGAAAGTGAGCTGTCAATTGTCTCCTCTGCCACGAGGACAAGGGCCACAAGGGAAGCCAGCAAGTGTCAAAGCCAAAGGAGCTTCCTCTTCTTGCAGTGTGTCATTTGGATGAGGAACTTCTGCCTACAGGAAGCAGCAGAGGCTAGCTGGCTCATCAGGTTCAAAAAGTGGGCAAATATTTTTAAAACAGCTACTGTCTGGAAAAGGTGACATGGTGGAGGTCTTTTTTGTAATTTATTGCACAAAATTCTAAAGTTTTTAGAAACAGAAGTACCTCATGTTGAGTTGTTTTAGACTAATACATAATATCTCAGCACTGGGGCATGCGTATTTCAGTGACTCCAGTCCAAGAGTTGTACTGGAACTGAGGGTCAAGAAGTCTTAGTACTGAAATTCCAGGTTCAGCCTCCACACGTTGGTATTGCATATATCTAGACTGATATTGCAATTTTGCCTTTTGCACCTTAGCCAGGAAAGGGATCTTAAAAAATATTTTAACATCATAGAATTTTGGCTTGCTCTTAAAGCAGCTCTCTCTTTTGTCAGAACATCTCTTTCAGGGCAGGCTGAGTGTTTTTCCTGAGTAGCTGTAAGTCTGTGTTTGATATATGTGGAGGTATGGTCGCTGTTTGATCTCTGTCTTTGCCTTCTTCAGGAGCAGAGCCCTTGGGTGGTGCCAGGTTGGGCACAGGGTGACACAGTATTCAGTCCTTCTGCAGGTAAATGCTGAAAAGCCAGTCACCTAAATCCCTAACTTAGGTCCAAAAATCCTCTTTCAGTGTTCAGTTGGAAGGAAGGAGATGGGCTTCCATGACTCTTGTGGAAGAATTGTGGGTCCCTTACTACTCAGGAATATTCTGTGATTGATTTCACGATTCTGTGAAACAGTGGAATTTCCATAATAATTATATTGCCATCAATCACTTCTCTGGTATTTGCCTGTGAGAAACTCATTACGAGGTACCTGGGGCCAGATGACTTGGAATCAGTTAAGATCTGGGCTTGGCCATCTTGCATCAACCCCTGACGTCCGAATGCCTACCACAAGCTGGCTCATGTTGGATTAGAAGTGAATCTGCCTGCTGGATACACGGGATGCCCTGTGGGCACAGACCACTGTCATGGTCCATGGTCGAAGTATGTGAATGAGAAGTGATCAAATCCATGCTCCTTTCAGAGTAACAGCAGCACTGGCACGCCAGGATCATTGTGTGGATGTGATGTGTCTCAATACTAGGACATTCCTAAAGACTGAGGTACATGTTAATGAAATTGTGAGAGCAGGACCGATGTAGCACCTCAAATCCCCCTCAAATGAGATGGACCAGATCCTCAGCTGTTCTTCTGTGCTTTTTTTGTCTTTGACACCCCTGAGATTTCTTACTACTTATGACTCCCTAGGCTGTGATTCAGGCAGAACTCAACACCTATTAGGTGGTACACGTAGGAACAGTCCTGCTGTGGTCAGTGGAGGACATCTCACCGTGGTGCTCCTCAGGACCCAGACAGGGGCTGTGTCCATGTCTACCATGCCGGATGCACTGCTCACCCTCTGACACCTCAGAGCAACCCTGTGGGAAGGCTGAGAGGATGAGTTCACCCTTCCAGAGGGCCGAAAATGAAACCTTTTGATCTGTTATTTATTTTGAGTGTTACTCTGACTAGACATAGAAAAAAAACCCGACAAAACAAAATCAACTTGAAGCCTCAGGTGTTTATAAAAAATGTAGCTCAGTAAATTGCTGTTGTAAAGGGCAGCTTCTCTTGGGGTTGCACATGAATGAAAATGTTAAGCTAAGGATTTGTCTTTCCCACTTGGCATCAATACCTGTGGTCATGCTCTAGAAGTTTGACTCGTTTTGTCATTATTGATACACAAAATAAACAAAACCTGAGACAAAGGGCAAGCTTGCAAATAGGGGAGCAGCCACTGGGGAATTTTATTTTATTTGTTTGCATTTTATTACCGTCTTGTGCCAGCTAATAAGGTGACCTTGCAACAGACAGATGTAGATAAGGCTGACCACCTCTGTTGTCTTATTTTGCAAGCTGGGAAGTAAGTTGCTGAAATTAATGGGAATAGGGAGATTGCCTGTGGGGGAAAAAATCTCCTGCCACTGTTAATTAAAAGAGTGCAGTTTTACAAGACAGATTGAAGTAACATCAATCACATAAATCAAGTAAAATCAATCAAGTAAAAAAGATTGGGGGTAAAAAAATGAAATTAAAATAGGCTGGTATTTTTCATTGCTTCACCAAGAAGAAAAAAGCCATGGAGCTGAACCATAGCCAGCCATTCTGATCAGCAGAGACAGGAGGTTTACCTGTAAAAAGATAGAGATCACCTGCTGACAACGTGAAAAAACTTGAAACCACATCTTTTAAAAACATTCCTATAGTTTAAGCTGAAATTCCTCTTCTCAGACCTTGCCAACAACTCTTGGAGAGTATTAAAGTTCAATGGCCTTTCCTGGCAGGGCAGGCTTGTACGAGCCAGGGGCGGGAAGTTGTGTTGAGAGTGTGGTAGCATGCGCCAAGTTTAGTTTTGTTGAGTTGAGATACTACCAGTGTGTAAAGATAATGGGAATGGGCTAGATCAGCAGCTGCACAAAGCAAAAGGAGAACTGAAACTATGCCCCGGTGGCCAAACCCCCTCCCACAAAAAAAGGTCAGCTACCTTCCAAGATGGAGTAGGTTTAAAGGTGGCAGGGCAGAACCCACATCCATGTAATTTTTACAATCTTTCCTTGAACTCTGAGGTTTAAAGTGAGGGTCAGGACAAGCTCACTGTTGAAATCAAAGTTTTGCAAAACTCCACAGGACTGGAAGTATGACTGTCCCTGGTGAATACATGCCCTGCTTCCCTTGCTCACCCTCCAGCACACATCTAGGACATTTTTTTTTTCAGAAGCAAAGTGTTACCAACATAAATCTGTTCCTGTTTGCAAAAAATTTGTACTTTTGCTGTAGGATTATTGTGTCAACACAATTTAAGATGCCTCCAACTAAGTGTAGAATTATGTATAAAACAGGTTGAGACTGGATTAGGAAGTTACTGTCAGTGACTTCAACTGATGTGGATTACTCTTGCTGCAGTTAAGTGGAAACTGGTAAGATACATCATAAATGTTCAGATTACATGCATTACTGGTTATGTTGTTGTACTGACATTCCATGTATACTTTACTTCATCCCATACTGCTTCTAAACAAAAATGTCTTTCACCCTCTAGGAGGAAGGACACGCAGAATAAAAGAAATACGGAAAGGTAAATCAGGGCTGCAGTGTTTTTGTCAATAGTGAAATACGTTGTTGCCAGCGCATTGTCTGGTGCTGAATGGTGAGTGATGCTCTGTCTGCTAAGAACATTGGTGGTTCCGATGTTCATGAAGATGTGCTGTGGGATTATGGATTTGTGCTGAACCCTCAGTGCCCTGTGGTGCCCTCGTCATGCTCTCAAGCAGTGACATGCTCGGAGGGTGGGATAAGCTAACTCAGCTCCACGTTTGCACCAAGGAAAACAGCCCTCCTGAAGAAATACCTGCTTACCTAAACCAATGGAGAAAAGCCTTTGAAGGCTTCCACAGGGAGATCCTCTTTAGGAAGAACCTACATTTAGATGTGGCAGCCTTGCAAACAGAATTGTACGTTGCTGAACCCTGGGCTGCTGCCATTGAGGAAGGCATCAGGAGGCTGAGGCTGCTCCCATAGCTGAGCCACCTCTACCTTTCTGGATGCCTGGGGACATTTATCTCTTTCTGGATACTGTGCCCATGTCACTGGTGGCCTGTATACCATCAGCTCTCCTCTCTGTGGCGTAGGCTCATCTCTCCATCGTTGGTCACCCTGAGGACCAGGGTGGCAGTGGAGCATATGGGGTTCAACCATGTCCTGGCAGAGACCTTTGGCAAAGCTGCCAGCAAAGAGCAGCCAGCAAACAGCTCCTGATCCACCACATTTGTTTCTTCTCCTGGACATAGCCTGATTCTCCTCTTTCCTACTCAGTGCTTCCACTTGACATCCACTTAATCCTGTAAGAAAGGCGCCAGTGCTAGGATTCTTCAGCTTTTCAACCCACAACATTAATGCTGGATTTTAGCCCACGACTCCAAGCATTTCTGTCCCAAATGTGATGACAGAAACCTTATTAACTTACAAGAATGTTAGACTGGTTCTAATGGGGAACTCTGTTCTCCTAAAGATTAAATATTTGTGCGCTTCCTTGTAAAGTTAGCCCTGGAGGTGCAGTTCTGGTGACCTGGATATTAGGGCATAGGTGAATTCTTGTTACTCACCTAGTCTGTGATTTTACTGTTTGTCACTGAAGGGTCTGTCCACTTGTCATCTGATTATGCAAATTCACCTTCCATGTGAGTCGTGATTTAAGTTTCGCTGTTTTTCAGGGTCTGACTATGTGCAGAAGGAGTTGTAGTCTTTTTTTTTTTTTTTTTTTTTTCTACTTCCTTTCTCTAAACACCACCCCTTGGCAGTAGACCTGCTGACACCTCAGAGCAAGACATAGATAAAAAGGGTAGCTTGTCTTCCTTCTCCACACTCAGAAGCAAGTGGCAGAGACTGCTCAGGAGTTTGGAAGCTGCTGGCATTGCAAGCATCTTGGGTAGATCCTCTGACAAGAACCATGTTCAGCAACACTGGTGAGTTTTTAATGCTTGACATATGTTAAGTGTGAAGTTTGGCAAGTCTCCTGCAGGGAGGATGGTAGCTCCAGAGGTTCTCAGCCCTCTGACTGCCATGGGTGACACCTTGAGGAAAGAAGTTTTGGTGCCAGCACAGCTCACAGGGGATCAATTTGCTCTGGCTGTGCAAATTCTGCTTTTGACAGATTGTAAAACTATCTTCAAGACAAAGATCATTTCTCATCACTATTCTTCAGCCTGTAGATACCTGGTTCTGCCAGTAATAGTGGGAAACAAATGCAGCTCTTTTAAACTTGTTCCACATCAGTGTTAAAATAATTTATTTCTTTCAGGCTACTTTATCATGTAGATTATTGCTCTTTAGTGATGCCCGATAGCATCTTATGGAAGTTTCAAAATAACTGAAAGGAGGATTTATTTGGGCTTGAGCTGTGTCCCATGGCTGTCCTGCCTGCCCTGTTGTCAGGAGATCCTGCACCTACCTAGAAAGGTGCCTGGGTCACTCCTGCAGCAGCTGCTGAACCGGCACCATTGACCAGCTCAGCCCCAGAATGCCCAAAACCCCTCGGGTGTGGGATGTAGCTGAGCAGATGCACGTGTGAGCTGGGTGGTGCCTGCAACTGAGTTGGGAGCAGGTCTCCATGGCTTTCAGGAGGGGAGGGGTGTTTTAACACTGAGTCCCTCAGTTTCAAACCTCTGTACTCTGAGTGTGGATGAGCTGAAATTTTCCGGGAAGTCTTGGACTGCAGCATCTTTGGGATGTGATCTCACATCTCTGGGATGTGCATGAGTGTTTGCCTGGAGGCTGGGCAAAAATCAGGAGTAAGTGCAGGTATCCAAATTATGCTCTCTCTTGAAAAACTACAGTTCTCATCCCAGTTCCCTTCTGTCCTTCTGAGCAGCCCTTGTTCTGCTTAAGCCAGACATACTATAAATATATGCTCCATATTGATAGGTTTTTTAAACTCTATCACCTCCTTATCATAAGGGAAAAAAGGCCCCACATACTTACCAGTGACAAGGTCTCATATGCCCATCTTAGATCACTGTTCCCTTGAAGCTCTGAACATCTCCCCAGGCAGGCAGCAATGCAATGGGCCTTGTGGGTTAGCGTAGAAAGCTATAAAGGATAAATCATAGAATAGGCAACAAAATACTGCCTTGAATTTTCTTACTATTAAAAAAGGAAAAGAAACCTGAGAGGATTTGAGGTTTGGTTTTGCTTCTGGCCTGGCCCAGAAATAAGCACAAACAGGACTGCGTCTTGCAGCCTGAGCCTCTGTCCTGCATGTTCTAGGTATACTTAGCTCTTCTATAAATCATGAATTTCCTTGTTGGCAAACCAAGGTGCCTGCAGGCAGGCAGATACAGGGTGTGTGGGGGCCCAGCTCCATGCCCAGGGCAGGAAGAGAAAAGCAGCAGGTGAGGGCTGCCCAGGGAAGACAAGCTGCGGGCAAGCCCCCTCAGATGTGGTGATGGGTGTGCCACTCTGAGGCATTCCTTGGCAGAGAACACAGTGCCAGTCAGGCCACAGGGTATCACAGGTGTGTGTGCACAGGAATAAATGCAGCACAATTGATGGGCAGCGCTGAGTGGAGACAGGTCTTTGGCACACTGCTCAGCATGGTCAGACCATGGGCAGCTGTTGTCAGTGAATCTTCCCTGTGCATCCTCAACATCACTGGTGGTGTCCAGAAATGAGATGGATATGCAGTCCCTAAGTTAAGAAATGCTGGATGAAGGGATTTCCCTGGGCCCTTTCCCACATGTGTCCTATGTGTTCAATTTTCATACCCCTTTGTATCCTTCTCCCAGGACCAAGGTTTTCTGGTATCTTCTCAGCCCAGCACCAGGGTTTTCTATAAAGAACAAGGTTAAGCAGCTTTAGTGTTTGAAGTTTTCTTAATGCTGAGGAGGATGTACTTCCTCTTTGTCCTCAAGAGGGTTAAGCAGCTATCTCCAGCTGAAATTTTTTGACAGAAATGCACACACACCCCATTGCGCAAAATATCAGCCCAAGGTTGTCAACTGACATGCAGCAAGCAAAAAAAGCACTCAAATATTAAGTTGGTTAACAAAAGATGCTGTTCTATTTTAAGTTTATTTGTTGTGCCAATTATATCTGATATGTAATTTAGATAAATATGGTTTATATATTTACTAAGAAAAAATACACAGAGATATGGTGGGGATCCATGGGTGGCTGGTTCTGTTTACTTAGGGCTGCAGTCACTCAGCACAAGTTGCAGTAGTAAGCATGCTGCTGATTTCAACCTGCCCTGGGACTAGCCCTGCATGTGGCATCTCTCACACCACACCAGCTACCAGCAGATTCCAGCCTCTGCTGTGTTAGGGATGGCTATTGTTGACACTCAAATTAACATGGTTGCCAGGTACCATGCAAATCTGTCAAGACATTTGGTGAATTAATCTCTTCAACCATTATGCTTTTGACTTGCTAATATCAAAGTTACCGTAACCCGTTTTTGCCGCTCCCATGTCTTCATCTGAATCACTCATGAGAAGAGTGCTTATGAGGCATTGTTATTCCCTGCTGTTCACACGGAATTCATCCTTTGAGGATATTTAAGGGCAGGTACAAGACATAAGCGCTACCGAAGAAATACAGCTCAGTCACATTCCAGCATGCTCTGGCTTTTGCTGTCACAACTGGGCAGCCTGCCAAAGCCTGATGCAGTGACCCCCAAATCTCCATCATCATTCAAAGCTGAGGGCTTTCTTTTTGCTCAAGTGTATCACTGGGTTGTGCCTCTTGGAGCTCCACTCCTATGCCGCAGCCCTGAACCACAGGCCACTGGGCACAGAGATGCTGAGGCTTTTCCTGGTCCTAATCCCATCCAGAGCTGCAGGAGAGGAGCCAGTCATTTTAAATGCTGTGTCTTAAAAATCAGCTGCGGTGTTGGGAATGAATGGGAGCAAGGCACTTGCAAGGGATTGTTGCTGGGGATTAAATCTCTGCTGAAGCCAAATTTGAAAAGCAGCCCCCTTGAAGGGGGACAGTGCTCTGTGGTGAGTGTTCTACAGCAATCCATCCAGAGTAGGGATAAGCTCCTGCCTTGCCCTCTGACTATCCAGCCCTGAGCTGCTGTGGCATGATTCTGCCTCCTCCTCCCTCTGTGTCTCCCCAGGGGGTCTGAGGTTCACCTCTGGGTATCTTCTATAATTTTTTTAAAATGTAAATTATTTTATTTTATATTGTCTTTTGCTAGATCTCTTGTTACTCTAGATATTTTGATGACTCACGGGGCTGCATTAAGAAGAAGAAAACTGTCTTTACTGAGAAAATTCCCATCTCTTCTTCTTCCTTTCTCCTTTTCTCCTAATGTTTTTCCAGAGACCAGTCTGAAGGTCACTGAGATTGACTTTCTGAAGAGACAGAACACGCAGCAGCACCACACGGATGGGTACAACATCAAGAACCTGGTGGTGCGGCGAGGGAAGCCCTTCCAGGTGCAGGTCAGCCTCAGCAGGGAGCTGAGGGCTGCTGACAAGCTGTCTCTGAGCTTCAGCATCGGTAAGCAGGAGTCCCTCTGTGGCCACCAGGCAAAGCCGGAGAGCCCCGGGATTGTCTAGCTGCCTCTTCCTGGCACTGCACAGGCACTGCAGACCTGTGCAACCCTCACACATGTTGTCTTGCATTTGCTTCTAGGTGAAAATCCAATGAAAAACAGGGGGAGCCTGCTGTCACTGAAACCAGAGCGGGAGGATCCCAATGGGTGGAAAGTCTCCGTTGTCAAGAAGAATGGCAATGAGGTAAAGCCTGTGGGCAAGGGGCCCAGTGCCCAATACCAAGCCCATCAGAAGCTACAGAGCAAAGCATCCTCTTACCTCCTTCCTGCTTTCCCTTCGTTCTATGATTTTAGATGGGCAGCAGCCTTGTCCTGTTCGATTCATTGATCCCCCCATGCACAGGCAGGCTTCACCCTATGCCACTGCCTTCCCCTCTTTTCCTGCAGGGATCTCCATGGCCCCTAGCTTTGCCACTCATGCCAGTTCTGTGGCACTGTGTTTGTGGCATGCATGTGGCCATGGTGTGGTGTCCTTCAAGCCCCTCCTGGGATGTCTCTCCTTGTTGTCTCCTCAGTGCCTGCTGTCTGTCACCAGCTCACCCAATGCCCCTGTGGGAAAATACAACCTGCATGTGAAGACTGGCACTAACATTTACACGCCTGAAAATGGTGTCATCTACCTTTTGTTCAATCCTTGGTGTGAAGGTGAGTGGTCCTGCAACTGGGAGTGATAATTACTCCTACCAGGGATTGTGTCAGATGGAATTTTGCCTCATGTTTTCTCTATTCTCTTTCTTACATACGTTGCTTTTTCCCCATAAAACACTGAAAGCAGCATCCTCATGGAGACAGTGGGAAGCTGGGCAATAGCAATAAGCCAGATCCTCATTGGATATTCTCCAGTGCTGGGACATAGAGGGACATCTATCTGTCACATCTGTTTGCACCTCTGTGTCATCCCTCTCTGTTTCCCTGAGCCAAAGATTAACTGAGAGAACTGGGTTGGCTTAAAATCCAGAAAAAGATAACCAGAATAAAAAGTGGTGTTGTTGGTGGTCATCAGTTCCCCAGTTCTCTCTGCTGTATACCTAGTAGTCTACAGTGTTCAGAAATAAGATCTTTGCAATAATAAAAGAGTGATCACATAGCAAGGGACCTAAAGGAGGAAATGAAAGATTAGTGTTATAGGAAATTCTTTCATTATAGGAGCAAAAAAATGAGAATGCTGCATGGTCATCTCTTGGTGTGAATGTTGCAGATCCTTGGTTGCCCCAGTTTAGCTTTCCATGGAAAATTTCATATAGGGTGTGCAAACCATCTGACATCCAAGGGTTTGGGATTTTTTTCTGCAGATGATGCTGTCTATATGGCCGATGAGGCAGAGAAGGAGGAATATGTGCTCAACGACACCGGCTACATCTATGTTGGGTCTGCGTACAGCATCTACGACAGACCCTGGAATTTTGGGCAGGTAAAGCACAGCTGCCTTGTCAGCCCTGTTACCCTTCTTCATCCCTTCGGCATGAAGCCCATGAGTAGCTCAGGGTGCTGGAATGACCCTGTCAGCTTCACTGGGAGGGCTCACCTGCTCAGAGTAAACTATGTGCCTACGCATGTTCCCCACCCACAGCTGGAGAGCAGGGTTTAGTGACACATTTATAGTCAGATCATGTGACCCCCGGTAAAGGATGTGGAAACTGGGGACAGGGTATTTCTGATTGAAAAAATTCCCGCAAGAGAAATCCTGCTCTCATGCAACTGTAGGTGCTGTTAGTCAGCTAATGAGACATGGAGAGGGCTGATGGGGGAAAAAATCTGATTTACATGTTGCATCATATTCGGGAATAAGAAGGGTAAAATTACTGGCAGAGGTTATCACCTTTCAAGTGGTGCCTTCTCTGACAGCTGTGTGCAGGACAACATCAGACACTCTCTCAGGAAGGGTGTTCCTGCACGCTGCCTCTGAGATAACCCCAGAGGAGCAGAATGTCAAGGGCTAGAGATAAGAGGTAGATGCCAGAGCAGATTTATTTGTATCCTGTAGAAAGCACACAGGCATTCAAGCAGAGTATCCTGTATCCTATCCAGACAGAAATCCCCACCAAAAAATGTTCAGATCTGGAGTTTTTTTCTTTTTCTTGTTTTTTTGGGGTTTTTTCTGTTTGTTTTGTTTTGTCTTGTTTTGTTTTATAGGTCTACAATTTTTGCAGGATATCTGCAGAATATGTATTTGCAGGATACACATAGCCCAACAGAGGTGCTCACACTGATGCCTTTACACAAAAGGGGCCAAAGGGCATCATCTGTAGGGCTGTTCCTATCCTAATATTTATCCTGCTGTTAAGCATTGAGAGTTGATATTGATATTCTGACAAGCTTCATTGGATCATATGTTTGACATCTTTCTGAACTGGACCTCAGGGAGCTTTATCAGTAATTGCTAATTAGGAATTTTTGTTGCAATAATTAGCATTTACGTACCTTTCTTTTTTCCAAGGTTCATTTTGTACCTATGTCAATAGACTAAATATTTTAGAGATCTTAAATTTTCATTACTCTTGTGAGTAATTTGCAGAGCTGCAGGGAGATGACGTTGGTGACTTTTGTGCACAGAAGTAAAGATTGCTGGGTCAGATTCCAACTGTGTTTGCAAGACACTCGAGATAGGCTTTTTGTTTTCCAAGGCTGGGTTTCATTTTAGCCCTTGTTTGGAGAGAACAGCTTTGGGAAGGCCCACAGCCTTGGAAATTCAATATCACAAGCAAATTCTGGTTTAGAGCGGCATATAAAAATATCTCCGTTTTTTCCCCAAAACAGTTTGAGGAATTTGTCTTGGATGCCTGCATGTATCTGCTGGACAAAAGCAAGCTCAAGCTGACTGAGAGAAGGGATCCTGCTCATGTGTCCAGAGCCATGTCTGCTTTGGTAAGCCTCTCTCAGTGAAGTGCTTTGCCCCTTCATGTCTTCCCTCATCCTTACTTGCTCTTCTTTCCCTGGGCCCATGAACACCATTTCAGAAGGCATCTGAAAGGGATTCCTTTGGGAACTGCAAGCAAAGAGACAGAGGCATTCTTGGTTGGAGGGAAGCTGCAAACAGAAATATAGCATGTTCCCATCTCCAAAACTTGCAGCTGCCCCAATGGTTGTCCTTTCTCATCAACTGTGTTGGTGGGGCCAACACGAAGGGTTGTGTTTTGGGCCAGTAGCTACTCTCTGTGGTGGGACCCTTTTGGAGCCCTGTGGTTTAAGACATAAGATGCAGAGTTGATTTTTACTGCCCTCAGCAGAGGTGCCACCTTCCTCTAGATATCCAGGTGGAGGCTTTCTAACCAGAAGAGCCCCCAGCCAGGACCAGCAGCTTTGATGGGTCCCACATGGCTGTGGAGCACCTGGGAAGCCACAGGGCAGGCAGAGACCCTGGGGTTTATGCCTCATTCATCCTCATCCCTTTATTTTCCTCCTTTTTGTGTGTGTGTATGTGTGTGGCCACAGGTTAATGCCAACGATGACAGCGGAGTCCTGCTGGGGAACTGGTCAGGGAATTACGCCAATGGAACATCCCCTATGGATTGGATTGGGAGTGTCACGATTTTGCAGCAGTACTACAAGACCAAGAAGCCGGTCCGTTATGGCCAGTGCTGGGTCTTTGCAGGAGTCCTCAATACAGGTGAACAGTGACTCGCCTCCCTTCTCTGACACCCCAATTACTGTGCTAGTAAGCCAAGTTACTGTAACTCTGAGCAACAGAGGTGGCAGTGTCTGTCTGTAAGCAGAGGCTGAGGGAGCCAGGACTGCTCAGCCAGAAGAGAAGACTCTGGGGGTCTGATCCTTGTGTGTAAATACCTGACAGGAAGGAGTGGGGCACAGACAGGCTTGCCTCATTGATGCCCAACAACAAGAGCAGAGGTGATAGCCTGAAACATGGAAGGTTCTGTCTGAACCTGGGACAACAGCTTTTTGCACTGTGAGGGTGACCAAGCACTAGCATAGGGTGCCCAGAGAGGTTATGGAATCTACATCCTTGGAGATGTTCAAAAGCCATCTGGACACAGTCCTGAGCACCTGCTCTAGAGGAGCCTGGGTGGGCAGAGGGGTCAGATGAGAGGATGCCCGCCAGTCTGAGGGATTTTGTGACCCTGTGTTTTGTCTGTCTGTGCTGCAGTCATGCGCTGCCTGGGAGTGCCATGCCGCTGTGTGAGTACCTTCGACTCGGCCCACGATACGGAGGAGAACCTGACAGTTGACATTTACCTGAACGAGAAAGGAGAAAAGCTGAACTCGTTGTCCTTCGACTCTGTCTGGTACTGCCAAATGGGGCTAATGCTTCCTGCACCCTATACAGCCTTGCAGTGACCCATTTCCCAGCCCCAGCAATTCCTTTGGGAATTTCACTACTGCTTGGGGTTTGTTGCCCAGGAGAGAGGGAAAGCCAGGGGTTTCACAGGGTTACCTGCAACTACCCATTAAATCTGCCCTTACTAAAGGATTAAGGGAAGAGATCCTGATTCTTCAGGCTGTAACAACTCCTTTTCTTTCCAATTCAAATGCATGCAGGAACTTCCATGTGTGGAATGATGCCTGGATGAAGAGAACAGATATGCCAAATGGGTTTAGTGGCTGGCAGGCAATCGATTCAACCCCTCAGGAGCAAAGTCAAGGTAGGATTTGCTTAGAAAGGCTCTTCTGCAACTCCTGAGGGAGGCAGGGACATTTTGTGTGAAAAACATGCATCCCAGTCAACAAACCAGGTACTCCCCACACACAGCTTCATGTACCGGGGTAGTGACACTGTAAAACAGCAGGCCTCACTCCTGCCACCTCAGCCCAGGATAGAAGAAACAGCATTTCTTGGCAGGCACAAAACCAACCATGTGGGAATGTCAATGTTGTTTCAGAGGTTAGAGGACATCTAAGTCACTGGGGCCATGAGCCTGTTCATTGGTAGATGGGAGGAATGACCACCAAAATTAGTGACTACACTCCCTGCACAGGTTTGAGAAATTTGAAGGTGGAAAAAAACCAAAAGGTTAATCCTCAGGGAAGTGCAGAAAGTGGAATATTGCCTAGAGATCAAACACAGGTGTCTGGACACAGCTGACTTCATAACCTTACACTGAAACTGGCTAAGGAAGAAACTTTCTAACACAATTTTGAAGCATTAGAAAGCAGGTATTCGTTATTGCAGCACACTGGACACACAGAGGGTATTTCCTCTGATTAGGTATATCATGAAAATTTACAACAAGATATTTATTCCATCATGGTCATACATATTCATAAGAGTGTACTTTCTGGCTAATACATAAACATCACTTCTAGAACTAATTTGCTTGCATCTGCCTCTTACTGGAAGGCATTTTATGGTCCCGGGGAGTCATCTAAAAGGATCCCTGGTGGTCGTACTCACAAGTATGACCCAGCATTACAGATGACCTTAACTTGAACTTCTCTTAGGGCACATGCTGTTGTTTCTTGGCACATAACATTGCCACAAAAGCCACTGTATTCCTCATTATCTGTTTATCCACTGGTTCCAGCTATGTTTAGCATCCTGTGTGCCTACTTTTACATTCTTTTAGCTACTTCTTTAAAACAGATTGCCTGTGTTTGGACAAGACATCATTATGTTCTGTTCCTTTATCAAACCAAGCTGTGGCTTTCTAACCTTAAAATTATCTAAGTGAGGGGAAACTTGCAAAAGCTCCTACCAGACCTTGGTTATCTATAAAAAGCTCCCAAGCAGCTGTGGAATAAATGATAGGTTTTGGAGTTCATTACTGAGTTGGAGAGCTGTTTACTGCTAAGCGTCAACTGCCATGGCCACAGATTCCTGCTTGAGTGTTGTCTGAGTGTGGAGCAAAAACTGGAGTCACTGCGGGTGTTTGGAAAATCACTTGGCATTGATTGCCCTTTCTAGGTCGTTTCCAGTGTGGCCCGTGCCCGGTGAAGGCTGTCCGGGAAGGAGATGTGTACTTGCCCTACGACGCCAAGTTCGTGTACGCGGAAGTGAACGCTGACAGGGTCTACTGGGTGGTCAAGAAGGTGAACGGCAGCGACAAATACTTCAAGGTTGGCACGGAGACCCAAGCCATTGGCAAGAACATCAGCACAAAGGCCGTGGGGCAAAACAGGCGGGAAGACATCACCCGAGAGTACAAGTACCCCGAAGGTAACTGCCTCCATCCTCTAACGTAGTGCCAAAGAGGAGACCTCGGCCATGCAGGTCATCCCACAGCCCGTGTTGTTTCCAGGAGAAAACTGCAGGACTAGCTGCAGTGGCAAACTCAGCCTAAGGCCTGGAGACCCTCGGGAGGCAGCACTGCTCCCGGGCATCCTCATGCCCGCAGTGACACCTATAGGCTGCTCTCGAGGGACACGAGCAAGCTTCCAGGCAGTGAAAGAAATGAGCTGAGTGATGGACGTAGTCGTCACACTGACCTTTGCTTTATTTCTTCATTTCTTCATTTTGTCTTTCCATTCCCCAAACGATTTTGGGGGGGAAAAATCCCATATTTCCTCCTCACAGTTCTCAAGATCCAGCTGTGTTGTTCTAGACTGTTAAACCCTTCTCAGTGAGGAGAAAAAAATATCAGGCTGAAATATTTATGAGTCTCCATCCTCTAAATAGTTTCTTCCAGAAAATTCTTGCAGTCCAGAATGCTGCAGGTAGATTTGGTGGTAGCATAAACCAAGAAGTTGTCCTGAGCAGAGGCTGGAGGTGCTCTGACATCCTCTCTGCTTATCAGCAAAAGCATAAATAAAGGGAAGATAACTCTGGGTGAGGAGACTCAGATACAGCTGTCACCCATATTTCTCTTTATCCAGGCTCCAAAGAAGAAAGGATGTCTATGCAAAGAGCCTACAGCTTCATACGCCCTTCGGGATTGATGCCTCGTTCAGGCTATGCTTCGACTGTGCAGACACCAAGCGGCAGCACCGAGCCTTTGGTCCCGAAGGAGCCAGTCACCGAGACTGGGCTCAACCTCGAGATAACCAATACAGAACCTTTGCATCCTGGCAATCCCCTTGAACTGGCCATCACAGTGAAGATCTCTGCTCCTGGGAACTGGACCGTGAACCTTACTGGCTCCTGCCAGCTGCAGTACTATACCGGAAATGTTCAGGCCAATCTTGGAACTATCAAGGAGACCATCAATCTTGAAGGCCCATCTGGTAAGCACAGAAAGCTTGCTGTATTCTGTAGACTAATTTACTGTGGCAGTCTGGTGATTGCACTGGCTCCACTATAGACCAGTGTATGGTTCTGTTATTTGTGAAGAGCAGAAATTGCCTGCCTAAAACCTACCTCCCACTTCACTGCATTTGGAAGTCTCAGTTACAGACTGGTATCCCTCTGTAGCAGGGACCAAAACGTGAAGGCCCTACTGCAGCTTCAAGGAGGTGATTAGGCATACATCAGTGTGGGCAGACAGAGGTTTTCATGGCGTGAGCGAGGTGTGATGAAGCATCTCCCTCCTGTCCTCACTGTCTGAACATCAAAGATGTCACCACAGGCTTTGTGTGCATCCATGTGGATCAGATCCCTCACAGGATTTAGATGGCTGGAAATTTCTGCTTTTTTTTTGTTCTTCTGTTTGCCAGTCTAATTTGGATGGTAGGGATGCTGGTGAGTGTTATTTTCTGAATTCTTTGCCCAAGCAAATTTCCACTTCATGACTGCCTGCCTGGCTGATCCTAGGAGCTGTTTGCTGTTTTGCTCTGCACACCTTTGAGTACCCTGGGCTGTATTTTTGATCCCAAACAATGCAAGTGAAATTTGCTAAACAAGAGATTAACGAATGATAAATAATTAACAACCCTTGCTGATTCCTAGCATGAATCACTCAAAAAAAAATCTTTGCTGTTGATGAGCGCTGTGTTTTCACTCATATACTGTTGCTGTCAAAATGCAGCAGGGCAGGATACAAAGGTAGCCCCATATATACATGCATGCACACATACATACATACATATATACATTTAGGGAAAAGGACAAGCATTTTTTGTTTTATTCCCAGAAGCCAGGAAGCTTTGCAACTAGAACAATTGCTGACTTTGTGGCTTTTCTGAGCCACTGGAAGGTTGTCCAGGCAATTAAATATAAAATCCAAACTGAAAGGAAAGCCAGCGATTTTACAGCAGGCAGAGAAACCCTCAGGGGTGCAGGCTTAGATGTGCTCAACCTCCTGCTCCTCTGTCTCTTCCTGAGTGCTGGGGCAGCCAGGGATGAGGGATGAGGTGATGGATGCAAGCCCAAGCCCGCGTTTGTCTGAGCAGGGCGATGGTGGGGCTCAGCCAGCCTTCCCATGGGCTGCATGTGCCAGGTACCACCCACTCAGGCAGGGCTTCCCCCGGCAGGGACTGAAGGGAAAGCAGGATGGACTCAGCAAATCTGGCTCATGCCACACCCTGGGACACCAGCCAACAGAAGCTGACTTTGCCATCCAATTCCTGGGCATATGGGGAAACATCAAGTTGTGTTTTCTTTCCTGCAGAGATGCAGATCCCCCTGAAAATAGCACCTGATGCATACATGAAGACACTGTCCTCTGTGGAAGATGAAGTGCTCATCCTTGTCACTGCCATTGCCGAGGTCGAGGAAACAAATGACAAACTCACCAAGGAGACCTCAATGAGATTTGAGTATCCCCCCATCACTGTCCAGGTGAGGCAGCTGCCATCTGGGCTCTGGGAGGACAAGGGTTAAAGCTCTTCTCACTCCAGCACCACAGTGGTGATAGCATTCCCAGGGGGATCTCCCAAACAGACACCTCCTAGGATGCTCAGTAGTGGCATCTTATTTGGCTATTCAACATTCATTTGAAGGTTGAAAGCAGCCATGAAATGAAAGTTTTATTACTGCCCCATCTAAAAGGGGAAGGCAGGGGATGCTGGAGGGAAAGGGATGGGAGAGAGCAGTTTGTATAGGGCCCATCTCCAAGCCCATAGGTCTTCCTCCTGTGTTGAGAAACCAGCTGGGAAAACACAGTGCTTCAGTGTCCATGCTGGTGGTGAGCAAACCTTCAGCAGCTCTGGCATCTTTATTACCCCCCTAATCCCCAGTCTTTGGGTCTGTTTCTCTCTTTCCTCCTCCACCAGATGCCAGAAACAGCCAAACTGTACAATGACTTCAACTGTGCATTCATCTTCAAGAACAAGCTGAATGTGACCCTGGAAAACTGCAAGCTGCTAGTGGAGGGCTTGGGCATATTTAAGATGACAACATTTGACCTGGGGTAAGGAGATGAGCCAATGAAATGACCAAAGCAGGACTCTGCTCTGTTTTTTTTTGGTCTTTTTTTAATACCCTTGATGAAGCAGTATGGGGAGCTGCAGTAAGAGGGACCTTTGACAGCTGTTGTAAATACAGACAAACCCAATGGGAAGAAATGACAATGTCTGACTCTATGAAAAATCCTGAGAGAGGGAGAAATGCGCTGCCACAGCCAGCTGTGTTTGAAAGTGCACCACATTTGTCCAGAAAGACCCACACAGCAGTTGCCAGGCTCAAAGGAAGACAGGCATGACAGTCCTGCTGTGCTGCCCAACAAGTGTGAGCACAGCTGCTTCCTTAAAAGCTGGTGTTTCAGCAGTACAGGTGCTGTGATCCCCAGGATCACTGGGAGCACCAGGCAGTACCATCATGCCAGGCTGCCTTTGCTGCAAAGTGGTCATGGGGGAAGGGGAATACCCACCCTAAACGCATGCAGTGACTATTCCTCTAAGAGAAATTATTCAAAATAACCCTAATTCATGCTTGAGACTATTTTGGTTTTTCCTTTGTCCTTAGGGATATAATGCCTGGCAAGATCGTGAAGTCTGAAATAACATGCACCCCGACAAGACTAGGAGAGAAGAAAATCGTAGCCAAGCTGATCTCAAACCAGATCAAAGGGATCTCTGCAGAGAAGGGCATCTTCATCACCGAGTAGGATCGGTGCCTTGTCAGCGTGCAAATGTTGGCCTTGCTAAATGTATCGCATCACTGGACACTTCTTGCCTTCTTGATTGCTGCACAGTACTTTTAAAGTAAAGAGCAAAAATGCCATAAAGCTAAGGGAATTAAACTGGCTTAAGGGCACAGTTGCATTGATTGCAGTTAATTGTGATTCAATAAAGATTGTGAAAATTGACTATGTGATTTGATGGTATTGTAACATTGGGATGGCTCTGGACTCACAAGGGGATGTTCCCATCTCAGACCAGGGATTGGAGCTCCTGCTGGTAACAACTTCAGCCAGAGATGGGTGTGAGCCTGGGAGGGGCAGCAGTGCTGTGGTCCTACCAAGGGCTGCTGTGCAGCTCAAGGAACATTTCAAGCAAATCCCTCCTGGGCAATTCCCTCTCCTCCCAGCTTACCATCTGGGAAATGTACCAGCACGTGCCTTTCATTGTCTTTAGAGCTCAGAAAGAGCAAACCCAGCACAGTCTCCCCAAACACCATTCTTCATGTATCTTCCTATCCCACTTCTTTTGGGGGTTTTCAGGCATTTTTGGAAGAGGTGCCGTTTCCAGCAGTATTCATTACTAGTGCTTCCCTAGAAATGCACAACCTCTATTCTTCCCCTTCCACCCTGAACGCTGCTGGACTACAGGAAGAACCTTGATGGCAGTGTTCACCAGGAGCTCTTCTAGCCATAGTCACACTGGAGAAGACAACAGCTGTGCACAGCTGGAGCTCACCGCTGCACTGCACACTCCAGCAACTCCTGAGCCCACCTTTAGCAAGGGATTTCTCTGTCCCACAGCACAGCCAGCAGCAGAGTGGCACTGGGTTTGCCAGTGTTTCCACAAGTAAAGAGGAAATCAGATCACACAGTAGTATAGGGGGTAATTTATCTGTTTATTTAAAAGGCAAATGCTCAGGCATTAAGGCAGTGGAGCAGAAGAAAGAAATGGTGACTACATCTGGTTATGTGCCAGCCCATAAAAAAGGGAAGAGGGAAAAAAAAGGACTTAAAAAGACAGAAAGGTTTTAACCACTCTTCTGTGTTTCAGAGATTTGGGGAACTCCCAGACAAGCATGCAGGTGGCTGCCAGGCCACAGAAGGGGGTCAAGGTTGCCCTGACCCCTGCTGCCCCTCCACCCACAGTGTTGTGTTGCTCCACAGCAGCACAGGGTCCCTGAAAAGCCACCTCCCATGGTGGCACAGCACGGAGTGGGAGTTCCTCTCCACAGGCAGAGCGGGTGCAGGGTCCATGCGCATCATGTCTGCAGAGTAGAGAAATGCAAGTGGTGCTTGGCAGATGAAGTATTAGTTCTTTAGAAAGCACAACAGCGACCAAAGGCACAAAAGGAGTTACAAACAGCAAAAAATGTATTTTTTAATGAGATGTAAATTCCCTATTTGCATAGAGACCTGCTGTAGAAGACACCAGGTGAGAAGTACGAGAACACCTTCCACATATGCCACGACCCTGTCCATCACTTATTAACACCTCATGTCGGAGCAGTGACAGGATCTTCAGCAGACCATGTTCCACTGAGCAGTGCAGGGGGAGCATCCTCCCTAGCCCCATAAATTTAGGGCACTACAAGCAGGTTCTCCAGGATGTCTTTCCTGGGACCTGGCGAGCCAGCCAGGACCATAGCAGCACGGTCTGAACATGAAGGTATGCCCTAACAAAGGGCAAGAAGTGTGTAGAGGGAAGGGAAGGTAAACAGTGAGCTTCGTTTCAATTCCATGAAAATCATGTTTGGTCTCAAGCTAGCAGTCAATCATCAAAGAAGGAGGTTTATACAAAAGCTGTGGATAAAACAGATTTTTCCAATTTGTGAAGACTTGTGATTTCTGACAGTTGTCATACTACACTGAGACAGTAAAGAGATACACCAAGGAGTACTGGGACTTTGGAAGGGGACAAGGGAGACTGACAGCCAAGAAACATCAGAACTGATTTGCTGGGCATAGGAAGTCACCCTGCCATGTCTTGGGGGCACCACAGCTAGAGCTGGCTGTCCATGCCCTGTGTAAGGTCCAGGGACACATCCCTGTCTCATTCAGACTGTAACTGGAGGAGAGGAGATGACTGCTCTGGCTCTTACTCTCCTCTTCACACTACTTTTCTGTTTCCCCTATTAAAAAGAAAAAACAAACCCAGAAATGCCAGCACCTGAGGAACAACAGGAGAGGTGGGAAACAGAGCAAATGAAAACTGTTCTCATGATGAAGTGAACCAGGTTTGAGAGTGGAGGAGAAATTAGGCTGTCTCCATCCATGCCTACCCAAGCCTACCCAGAGTAGGGTCCCTGTCCTGAGAAGCATCCCTGGAATGCAGCACATGGGTTCTCTCCCAGACTGACATCCCTATACACCTGCCTCAAGATGATGTTCAGCCACGGAGTAGTTCCTCCCTGTAGCACCATTCCCACTGCAGACACAGCACCAGAGGCAGGGATGTGAGGTGGAGCAGCAGGGCAAAATTAGAAAACATGAGCTAAAAAGGGCACTCTTCCTCTTTCAACGTCCCCATTGCTCCCTACAGGAAATCCCTTACATACCTGTGTATGTCCCTGATGTCCCTTTCCTGTGGGATGCTGACAGAGATGAACATGGTCTAGTGAAGAAGGAGGAGAGTTTCCTCCCTCAACACCCTGCTGCACAGGGCAAAGACATTCAAGACCTCATGTCTAAATGAGGATATCTCATTTCATCTCAAATGTGGGGGGTTTCCCTTTATCCAAAAGGTTATAAATATGCAATTCCTAATGATGTTCTCTAGATCTACTTTTCATTGACAAAGAGACGTCCAGAGGGAACAGGGAATGGAACAACTATTCAGAAATACCCCCTGGATTTTGGTGAAGCTGTGCTCCTAACAGCCAAGGCACTCTATTTGTTCCCACTACCTTTGCCAGAAAAAAGGACTGCTGTGGCAGAGGATGAGTCGAGGAGAGAATCTTATCCCCCGAATGCCACACAATTAATGTGCACAAAGATGCTTTCTGAGGGGTTAAAAATAAACAGAAAAAAAATCTTGCACAAATTCCATTTGTTATTACTCCTATAAATAATAAAAACTTCATATAGGTCTTCCACAATACCATGCTTTCATCCCAAAACCTCCTTTCTCTTCCTTTTGAGAGGAAGCAGTTATCTTTGGTTCAGGTTACAGGGGAGGGCGGGATAAAAGCAAGCATGTTCTAAAGGGGGAAAACAGTAGTATATTTCTAGTCTTCTGCAAATTTAATTACAATTAATCTAAGGCAGATTACAGAAGAAGAAAAAAACACAAATGAAGAACAGTCTAAATTAAAAATAGCATCTGGAGGATGCCAAGTGTTTGCAGTGCATCTGAACGCAGCAGCTGGCAACACCTCTGCAGGATTTTGCTGCAACTACTGCCTCCTGCAGTGATGCCCTCCTGGAGTGACAGGTGTTCCTTCTACAGGTTCACCAGCATTCCCCAGGGATTGGCTTCAAATTAGCATAAGGAAACCTGGAGTAATGGCATGTACTAGCAGGACAATGTTAAACCCAGTTAGATTAGGAGGCACTATTCATTCTCCACCTACTCTAGATACCAGGAAAAGAGCAATATCTAAATTAGACAAGTCAAACAGAGAGAGGTAGTACCTTCATCACAGGGTGCTCACATCGCCCTCTCTTTCACTGTAAAAATAGCCCCGGTACCTGGCCTAGACTGCTTCCCTGCTCCCTGGGCTTCAGAGCTCAGCCAGGCAGCTCCCACTCCATACATCTTACATGCCAATGAACCACAGCCCCGGGGAAAAGCTTCCCCCACCAGCACCAGCAGCTCGGCATCTCAGCCAACATTTGCCCCTTCCTGGCTGCACTGGCCATGGCTCAATGCTCCTGCCAGCCTGGCACAATCACAAGCCCACCACCACCTCCGACAAGCACCACCAATCTCACAAGCACAGAGGGTAAAAATTAACCCCTGGAGATATTTCAGAGCCCAAAGGAATCACACCCAGGGTGAGCTCATCCATGTGCTGCATCCATAGCCCTGCATCCCACCTCTGCTACGACCAGTGCACTAGCAACATTCATAACCCAGAAGCAGCACCCATGGGATGGGATGGGCTAAAGAGGATACATTTTTCCAGAAAACCTTCAGAGCTGGCTAATCTTGCAATCACACATTTAGTCTTCCAAAGGGCTGTAAGAACAAAAGATTAGCCAGACTCCCTAGGATGGCACATTTCTGGGAACTGGAGCCAATCTATCTGACAATTATAAAATGTCCTTAAACGCCATGAAAGAAAAGACCAATAAAGCAGTTCACACAAGTCTGAAAAAGAGCTTATGAACCCCATCACTTATGAAGCTCTCTCTCTGGAGATTTGCATTGCTTCTGGTAGTGCTGTAGTGTCTGTTCCAGACCAATACTCCTGAATTTTTTAATGCACCAGAAAGTATGTTAAAAAACAACCCTTAAATCTCCAGCACAAGTAATTATTAAAAAAAGAACCACCTGAAAGCTTCTCTTGGAGGAGAAGGACACTTTGCTCATTCACGCAATATTTGAATGGCAACTTCTCGAGCCAGAAACTGCTCGATTTCTTCTTGGGTCATTATTTCAGACGCAGGAGCTGCTGCCACCGCTTCAGCTGGTGCTGGGCTCTCGCAGTTCAGGTTTGAGAAAGGGTTGAACCAACCCAGGGAGAAGGCACCTCCAAATGCCAGCTTCATTCCATCCCAGCCACTGATCTTCTCCCAGGTTGGTTTCTGGTTTTTAAGTCGCTCAATACCCTGCAAGAAGAGAAGAGTTTATGGTCATCTCATGCTTATAGCAGGTGTTTGGGCACCAAGCATTGTAGCACATGCAGAACTGCCCACCTATAGCCAGGCTGATGCTATTACAGTTTGAGTTAACAATGAAGACAGACACTCTGCATTACTGGGAGTTTAATCTCCAAATCTAACAGCAAAACCCTCACATGAGATCAAGTTCATGGACAGTCTGAATATTGCTGATGTATTTTCAGTTGCCATTGATATCTAGGGTACAGGGATGGTTCCTGAAAAGCCAGCCTTTTGGGAAACATGGACCTTTTCTCACACAGATTTTTGAATCCTTCCAAAGAGTAACAAAATACAGTTCCAACTTAAAAGTTTCACCTTCTTTGGACATTTTTTGCAATAGTTCAGACACAGCCAAAATACTGCACCTTTTCCCAGCAATCAGGAATTTACCACTGCCACACCTAGGCTAGTCACTAGAAGTTCACTCTGTGCCAGTTAAGAGCAAATATTTGAGAACACAACTTCCATTTACCAAATTGTCAAAGACAAATCACAATGCAAGCCAGATAACCTGCTGGGAGGTGAGAAAATCTGTATAGGTTAAAGTGGAGGCTTCAAAATAGGACTGGAGCCTTGGTCAGTCAATATTCTGATTCATTCTCCCTCCAAAAATGTCACTTTTAGTAAAGCAAACATTTTGATTGTACTAAAAGAACAGATCCATCAAATTTGGGCACTGACCATTTTTTCCTGGTAGTCTTCTCCAAGGTAGAAATAGGGAACTAAAAATAATTTTCTTAATGATTTTTTTAAGACTACCACTGTGTGAAATAGGGCACAATTTTTAATGCCTATCTTCTGTATATGTAAGAAAGGAGTCAGATCTGCAGCTGTGTATGATCCACTTGTGATGATATACAAGTGACACACAGAAAGTCTGTTCTTAGAGAAGCAACAATACTGAATCCAAGTTTTGAGAAACTCAAGGAAAGGAAAAAAAATGTGCAAATTGGGTTAAAACTGTAAGAAAGAACAGTACACGTCTCACATTCTAATTCTACAGACTTTTCTCGACAACACACAAAACATTCAAAGCTTTGCAGCGAGGGGAAAGGAATACACACAGCAGCTCAGCAGCACCACAGCTGCACTCGCTGTCAGCCTCACAAATAAGACAACAGCAGCAGCTCAGTTTGCAGCAACACTGAGTCAGCATGAGCAGACCCAAGAGAAAGCACATCATAAACCAAACCACTGCATGCAAAGCTTTTATGAACTTCATTCCTTCATTCATGCCCCGTTTCTCCTGCTGACTTAAGAGAAACCCAGCAGTAAAGGTGCAGAAAGGAATGACACAATACCGAATTGGAATTCCTCAGGGTTGTAATTTGGGAAAAATTCAAGCCTAGAAGGACTTTGAATGCTAAGCACAGGCCTGTTGCACCTCATGCTGCTCCCAAGCTTGTAAATGTACCATTTCAAGTGCTCCAGGGAGAATCCCCTGCAGCCTCCGGCCCCTTGGGATGCCACACTTTGTGTGTCACAGCCAGGACCCAACCTTACCTCCCTGCTGGGCAAGCTGGAGAGGAGCAGAATTTATGCACAGCAGACCCTTGGCAAAGTGTTCTAGCACTACCATGAGCTTTTCCTCCAGGATACTGCATTTTCAGCACCCAGTGGCTGAGCAACCAGGGGGCAGAAGCTTTGGCAGCTTAAAGCAGGAGACCACCTTTGGCTGTGTGCTGTTCCTTAGCGAACTGCAGAGGTTTCCCGGGTGTTAGTAACAAACTGGCTGGAACACGGCTGGAGCACTTACAGTGTGAGCATCTAGAGAGAAGGAAAACAAGTAGCACAGAGCAGGAGGAGAGACAGACAGACATCAGGCATTTAAACCCTTCCCTGAGAGCACAAACGTCAACCCTGCCCTCAGAAATTTGTGTAATCCATTTCAATCCCTGCTGCCATCTGGGAATACAAATTTGGAACACTTCTGGGCAGCAACCCTTCATTCCCTCCCATCAAAAACCACTGCTCACCTGCTCCTATCAGCATCTGCTAACCAAGGCAATAAGCAAGGTCAGGCTGAGGTTATGCTAATGCCAATTAGGGAGTAGTTCATCAGAACAGCCAGAGGCTACTTTCTCTCTCCCAACCTGACCTCACTAATCCCTTCACAGTATGTATTCAAAATAAACAGAAGTTTTATAATTGTATCTTCATCTAATTTTGGCTGCTGGCTACATGGTCAGCAGGGCATGAGGTTATGGCTTAAAAAGAATCTAAGGGAGATGGAAGGAATGCACAGCTGTTGAAGACATTTCATTACTGTTTAATGAAACTTTTTCAAAATAAATATACTTACATAAATCTCTCAACATTATTTTAGAAAGTGAGAATTTTGTGTATTGAATTAAACCAACACCTTTTTTCTTTCCCATCATGCAGCTATTCCACTTAATAAAAAAAAAAAAAAAAAGTGCTTAGAAAGCATCATCTTTCCCTATTTCAAATTACATAATTTTGAACCAATACTGAAGAGACATACAGGGAGAAATATAAGATACTGGACATTCCTCTTTAAGTAAGAGGCACAACATTCCAAACATGTGGACAGTTAGACAAGGTTGACCTGTGACCACTGTGATGCTGCAGGATAATACCCTGTTTCTTCAACTACTGCCCTGGGTATCTGCTCCTGCCCAGTGCCAGAGGAGGATGGTGGGCTGCATGGTCTGACCCAGAAGTAATCTGCAGGACAGCTCTTGAATGTTAGAAGAAATGCATTAATTTCTTTCAATGCACTTTTAAGATATGAAAGGAAATAGAAAACCAAAAAGACAAGCATTGAGACAAACTGATGGTTAAGGAGAAGACACAGGAAGCATTGCCACTGGAAAATCATGATTAAGGCAGAACTTCTCTTACAGCAGTTCCTTCACACATTTCTGCATGGGAACACCACTTATTTTTTAACAACAGACGTGCTCTGATTGAATTTGTCCTTCAATTTCTCTTGGCCACACTAAAACAGAACCAGCACCTGAAATCAGGTAGTCCTGACCGAGAAAATGCTTTCCATCAGCAAAGTCTGCCTTTCTGCCAGTAAGCCTGCCTTGCTCATACTAATACTGACTTACTTTAATACCATTCAAATTGCAACAAAGTCGTACAGCACAAGGAAATCTGAAGGCCCTGGTTATCACCACACACACACACAACAGGTACCAGTGGCATTTCTATGATGGTGCCTCGTTTAAAAGACAAAACACTCAGTTTGACTGAAAATCTCAGTACTGTATAATGCTGTTTAACAATTTGCATTTGGTTTGAAATAAGAAAAACTCAGTAGTTACATATTTTTTCCTCAATGGTCAAAAGGCCAAAACAATGTAATTAATCTTCCTCCAGAACTAATAGCTAATAAGGGTAATCAAAATAAACCCAAACTGGAATGTAGAATTTGTACTCAAAACAATTTCTGAAGCAGTGAACCACAGAGAGATGCATTCATTAGTTAATTGCCTAGGTGACTAAAGCCTCTCCCCTCAATATATCTAATTTTGCATCAAGGCAGCTTTAGGGCCAAATTCTCTGCCAGTTCAAATTACCACCTGCACATGTCTCACTGGCTGGACTGACCATGGCCCAATATCCAGCTTAACAAGTAAGCTGGGAGCGTTCTCTGAGAAAAACCATCACATACTTAAACCAGAGCTGCAGCCTCTCCCAGCTGGTGAAATAAACCACTGATTAACAGATCAGTGTACTCAGTTAACTCACTTTTCATCATATATACCAGTAAACTCACTTTTCAACTTAGAAGTTGAACACTCAAGTAAATTAACTTTTATATGCTTCTGCCTGCTTGCATACAGAAGTAAAAGTTCAGAAAACCATTACAGATTTTTCCCAAGATTTGGAACAAAGAAAGAAAGAAAGAACAGCAAGCAAGTTTTTGGAAAAGTTTTATTGCATTTGTTTTCCATATGGAAGCATTAACAGATTGAAAAGATGCAGCATTCACATTACTTCCAAAATGAGACATCCATTAAATTTCTCCTTCTCTGATTTCCCTCCCTTCCCCCGTGGCTTTGAAGCAGTCTAAGCAGGTCAGTTTCCAAAAAAATATTTTAAACCAAGGAAAGAAAAGATTCCTTGGAAGTCACAGATGCAGCTCATTTGTGTATTTCCTCTGTTTACAATTCATTTGATGAGCCCATGGGAGTTGTGAATCAAAAATATAATAAAATTCCTGCCTGAACACAACATCTTGTAATTAACATTAACAGTTGGAATTATGAATGGTTTAGCTCTACCCGTTTTTGGAATGCCTTCTGTCCCTCCCACTTTTCATCACCACACAATTCATAACAACATGCATGCTCCTTACCATAATTATTTCCCGATTTCAAACCCTTACACATATATGTGTGTGTGCTTGCACACATACACACGTATGCATAAACAGGAGAAAAGATTTACAAAGCTCTAAACCAGGGCAAAGCTAACAATATAGTATCAATCGCCCTAGAACACTTACACATCCCATCAATATTAGTCTTTATAGTAATCTGGGCATTCATGTCAGTTTTTCACGTTAACACTGTTTTGCAGGCATTGCTCTAACAAGTCATTTACCAAGACAAACACACATCAAAAAACATGATTCCGCTATTCTAAACACTTGAAAATTAGCTTTCTTTCTTTCCTGGAAGTGTAAGGCATGTAATAATCCAAAAAGTCTTCTAAATCTGCCACAGGTATCCTAAAGGGGCAACAATTTCCTGCACACAAGGGAGGGAACAGATAAAATAATGCCAGAAAGATGGAATCAGTTCTGTGGCTGGAAGGAAAAAGGAGGGTGGAGTGAGAATTGGTGTTGGCAACGTTTAAGTACTTCAACTGTTTGTGATAACCAGATCAACTGGCTCACTTGCTGTGCTGCCTTCTGGTCTTGCACCTTTTGGTACATGAAGTATCTGCTTCCCTGTTCAAGTTCACTTATGAAAGAGCAATGTGCTCCTTCAGGAAGTCCAAAGGTGTCTGTGTAGGGCTGTTGGCACTCACATGTCATCCACAGAGCTCATCACAGTCAGGAGACAGCATGAGAATTTACTCAGAAGAGGTGGGTCATAACAGAGAAGAGAGGATTCCCTTCACATTAGTTATGCCATACAGAAAGCAAAGAGAAACAAATGCCAGTAAAGTTAATGTGGTAAAAAAGAAAGGAAAAAAAAAGAAAGGAAAAAAAAAAAAAGGCAGCAGCAATTTCAGCCAGAGATATAGAATTATCTAAAATGGTGGAACACAGGGCTTTTTTCCCCTCTGCAATTATCAGCCATTTAATAGACATAAAAAAGTTCATTTTGCTTTTTGTTTTGAACATTCATGGAAAATTTGTAGTAGTGCTGTAATATGTTTCTATTTTAGTGGAAATGCTGGTCAGGAATTCCTCAGACCACATATTGGTACGGGTCTGCTTTTCCTTGGTCTGGTGTTGCGAATGGGCTAAGCCATGCTATAGAGAACGGATGGCCAAATACTGCTTTCATGTTCATCCATTTTGTTTTTTTAGCCCATCTTCTCTCTTCCTTTTTCAACTGTTCTATTCCCTGAAAACAGAAATATCACATTTTCAGTCAAATACTCAGGTTTTGTAGTTCTGGATTCGGGGAAAGGTCTACTCTCAGTTACCCCTTATCCAAAGGACAGAGTAAGAAAATACAAATGCATCTGTACTGCCTTTCCTTTTCTTCTCACTGTTTTATGTTAAAAAATACTAAAGCTAGAAACTGTTCCTTGGAAATAAAATTGCTTTCATTTTCTTCAGACCTATATACTTCAGAACCATTTTAAGACCTGCCATCCAAATTGCCTCTGATGTCAATAAAAAAAAAACCCACCACTTAAAACCAAACAAAAAGTATGTGCTTTAATGGCTGAATGCATTATGTGCTAACCAGATGGAAAAGTTTTAGAAGAAACCATTACAAGCTTGCAGACAAAAAAAAGATCCCAAAAAACAAACAAAAAAAAAACCCCCACAAACCCAAAGATAATCTCTGTAATGCTCCCAGATTCACCAAGCAAGTTCAGGAAGTGCCCATGGCTCAGTGTAGCTAAGTCTACCTTGTGCCTCTTCACATGTCATTAGAATCACTGCTAAAACATGCATGGGCTGACAGCAGGGAGAGAGGTTTAAGTAAGATACTGATTTGAAGAAATCATCAGCATTGTTTAGTAAAGGTTAGAGGCAGAACAAAAATAAGCCATCAAGCAATCAGCTGAAACATTCACTAGTTAAAACATTAAAAAGAAAATAAAAACCCATATTGTGTCTGAAGCCCAGGAAGTGAATTTGGTCTGTCAGGAAAGCCTGGCTGCTACAAAAGCACAATCAGTAAGAGCAGTCACTGGAGAGCATCACTCTCCCATGGGCAGCAGCAGCTGGCAGACCACCCAGTTCCTTGACTCTGCATCTTTTGCAAGGTAAGGCTCCTCCTGACCTACATGTTACATGTTACACAGTAATACACTGCAATACATCTGTGTGCCTCAAATTACTGATGCTGGGAGCTCTGATGAGCACAACATGGGTCAGCTGCAGGAGCTGTGCTGATCCCTGGCAATGGCACCTCCAGAGACAACAGCAGAATACCAGGGCTCTGGGTCCCTTCAGGCAGAAAGGAACCATCTTGGCAGGACAGCATACTCAAGATGAGGAATGAAGTCTCCCAGTGACTGGAATAGAAGGAGAAAAAAGGGCGACACACGGCCCTGTCCCTAAAATGCAAATTAGAACACTGCAAGAGAGCACACCAAGAAGCACTTCACCTGGAAATATTCCTCTGCTCAAAACAGATTGCTTGCATACAGCTAGCTCAATGCTAGCAAACCAACAATGAGACATTCCAGAGAGCAGAATCCTTACTGGAACATATTAAAAAGACACCCAAAAATAAACCTCCACAACACAACAGGGGGAGACCATGTTTCATTCTTTTATTTTAGAATGTGGCATTGTTCCTTTAATATCTATGAGTTCCCAAAACTACACTGGAAGGGAAAATCTGGGAACTTATTTGGGTGCCCAGCAGTAGAAAGCAGTTTCTAAAAATTCTTGACAGGTTCCAAAGATAGAGAAATTCAAATGATGATTTCACAGGCAGCATTGCTCATTTACACACTTAGTGCTGAACACAAGCTCAGCAGGATCTGTACCACACTGTACTTCTTCCTGGGGCTCTCCCCATTAGAAAGCACAGTGAAGTCTTTCTCTGAGCACAGACAGGTGGAACATCAGCCTCTTGCAGAAGCCAAGCATTAAGGAAAGCACTGCAAACAAAGGCTCAGAACAATGGGCTGGTAGGGCATATAATGTCAGTCACAGCCCTCTGACAGCAGCAAAAACACCTCCTCTAGCTTCAACTGGCCATGGGCAAACAAGAGGAAAGAAACCTAAAGGAGGCAGGGGAGGAAAGAAGAGTTGTCCCTCTTTTAAGACTATCACTTCTCTCCAGCCACTCTGGTTAATTCAATTACCTGAGCGTGCTTGGTGAAGAGTGCAAGTATTCACAAGTGTGGGAACACTCCCAGGAGTCACCAGCTTCATCTTCGCAGAAGTGGGCAAAAATATTTAGGACTGTAATATTACTATAAAATCTCTACTATGCCATCTTCAAATCAGAGATGGCTTGGTGGATTTGCAGCAGACTGTATCCAGCAGTTTCCATGAGCTTACTCCACTCTGTTTTCTTTTTCCTTCTGGCAGGAGTTTTTGAAATGTTGAACAGGTAGCTAAGGCTGGAAAACCTTCTAGCCTAAAAGAAGCGTGTGTGTCTCTGTGTGTGTGTGTGTGTGTGTGTGTGTGTGTGTGTGTGTGTGTGTGTGTGTGTGTTCCTCCTCCAACTTCTCATCTTAGATTTCCAGCCTTTCCATCCTATCAACATATGAATAGTGACAACCAGGGCACACAGCTGAATTTCAGACAATACCAGTGTAAAAGCACTTCATTAAAGGAGAAAGGTTCTCCAATCCACAGGGACAAATACTCTCTGCAGAGTAACCCCAGCTACCTATGCCTATCTTATGGGAGGTACTGTCAACACAGCGCCCCAGCCAATACACAGGGTACCCTGTGTCCCACAGGAACCCTCAGAGAGCACCATCCAGCACTGTGCTAGCTCAGCTTTATTACATTGGATCTCTCCTCAGAGGGTACATGGGACATGAGGCAAAATCCTGTAGCCTGTCACTGCTTCTACAAATGGTGAGAGACAGGGTAAAGGAGAGAGTGTGAGACACCCACCGTTTCATCAGTGCAGATGGAGTGTACTTGGGTCCCAAACATAACTGAGGTGAAGATGAGAAATAGGAGAGCCTCAAAACACAAGAGGATGAGTAGAATCACTGTAGTTGGTGGAGAGAAGGAACTACATTCTGTGAAGACAAAATAATGGAGTTGTAAGGGTAGACATCAAGTAATGCACCTGCTGCAAAACACCCACTAAGCCATGAGTTTCCCATACCCAAACTATCAAATAAATTATATGAACAACATTCCCAGAAATATGCACAGGGAAGCTCCGACATTCAACCATAAAATGATCCCTCCCTCAAATTTAAAAAAAAAATTAAAAAGCCCACCAAAACCCCTGCAACACTTCAAGACTGCAACTTTCTTTTCCACTTCGGTGTTTCCCCGGCACACCAACTAGGACACTATTCTCCATTTCAACGCAGGTTCTCCCTTAAAGCTTAGACTTAACAGATTTTCCACAGTGATAAGTCCATTAAAAATCTCAAGCTGACAGTCAGGACGCAAGCATATGTAGCACCAACATAAAACCAGTGCACTTCCTTTCGTAACTGTTTTAAGCCGTAACTTAAAGAAGGTCAAATTAAACCAAGTTCCTATTTTTCCTCATACTCAATAGTGCAAACTCAAGCAAGAGCTGAAAAAAGAAACCCAAGGAGGTAATTAGAAAGGAGGAGCAGAAGAAAGTAATATTATACAGCCAAAGTCGTAGTTGAGTGCTGCAAAGTTACAGTTCAGCGCTGTAATTGCCAGAATGTCTCCAGATTTTTCCAAAATCTAAGACTCTCACCAAAAGCCTGTATTTTTCTAATGAGATCCTAGACTTAAACAGATACACCATAATCAGGAGCTAACACTATCTGCACAAAAACAAGGCAGATGGAACAATATATCTATCTCTCCTAACAGCTCTGTTCTGCCACCTAAACCTGGGGCAGGTAGGAAAGGGTTTTCCCCACAGGAACAGGCTCTGAGAAAGGACATAAGGGAAACTACCCTTTGATGTCTCCTTCCCTTACAGCCCTGGTCCCTGCAGTCAAATGCAGATGATCTCAGTGACAGCTGGCAGCTGTTTTACAAAGTTTTGAAGTGCAGAGGAACCTTTTCAAATTCAATTCATGTGTATCCTCTGCAGTACTATGAACTAAAATCAGTCATTATATTGAATAACACTACCAAAATTCCAAGGGAAAAAACCCTCCTCCTTTTCAAAAAATACTCACAAGCAGTACATACATGTGCACACACATTCTTTGACACCTTGCTGTTCAACTCAGCATTACATTGACGGTTTCCTATATCCATTTGTGGCTATAGGAACATACATAGACTGACTTTGTGAAAATGTACTCATTGAATTCAGAGTACGTACTCACAGCATCCAGAGTAAATGCTGAGGTTTTTGGTTTCGCTTTTTTGAGCTGCTTGGACTCTGTTTTGGTTTGTTGGGTTTATTTTTTTTCTGAGGAAAGGAATTGTTTGTTCTTTTAAGGGTGGATTTTTGGATCTGAGCAGCATGTTTTCCTGGCAGTCTTGCAAGAATGATTCACAGTACTCTTTTAAAAAAAGCATACACATTTTTCTTATCTTTTGCTGACATTCAGGAAATTAGCACTGTGTTCATGTCAACAGTAGGTTATTGCACACATACTCCTTAGGTGTCTTTACATATCAGCTTTTTCCTAGGCACTATCAGACGTAAGTTAAAAGAGGACTTTTCAGGACAGAGATTCCAGCAGGTCAAAAAGAATTATGAAGTCCCAGGAATTATCATTAAACAGATTAAAAAAAAAAAAAAGAGATGGCATAGCAGAACCTTGATAGGATTCTTCTGAAACAAGCCAACCGCATTTATCCTTACTCAAAGGATAATATATTATTTTAATAAGGTATTTTGTTTATACTCACTTGTCCAGTCTTCTTCAAAGCAGTACAAGAAGTGAAATCCCACCATGATTAGGGCATGCAGGGAAATCAGTGCTATATACATCTGAAAAATGAAAGATGTAATACAGGTATCAAGTGAGTTCAAAGGCCAAAATGCTAAATCTTCCCAACACTTTATTTAAAAGCATAGTGATAGGATTTCAAAATAAACCCAAACCACAAAACAACTCCAAAAATCATCAAGCTCTCCCATCTCCCCTGAAAAAGCACCGTGAAGCTGGCAAATGCCATGACTACACAGACTCATTCTCTCTTGCAAACTGCTCTGAGCAAACACAAGGCAGAATGCTGAATCCAACACCAGCTGGATCCAAAACCCGGCCTCCTGTGTCCCACAGTGGCCTTCCACACAGCTTACTGTCCTTACCTCAGCAGAGTACTGCATGACTTTCAGAGAGCAGTAACACTGATCAAGGTATCCTGTTGTCAAAGCTCTTGACAGCACTACAGTTTCTCAGAGAAACAAGTTATCTTGTTTTAACCAGAAAATGCACTTTATCTGTTTTTCAGTATGAGGTTCAGAAAAATGATATTTTTTTTTAAGAAGTACTTTCTCCTGAGGCAGACACTGGCATGGAAAGTTTCTCTCAGGTTTTAATACTTCGTACTTAATCATTTTTGGTTTAAACCAGGTTTTTTAGCTTTGTAATAAAAACTGTATGTAACAAAAAGTTAGAACAGAAGCTATGTGCAATATTACACATAGGTTACAATTTACTAAGACAGTGCTAAAAAAATTACTCTTCTGAACCTACAAACTCTGACAAAGATAGGCAGGTAGCAGAAGAGAGAGAGACTTTGTAATAAGAAACACCTCTGGAAGCAGTAAAAGGCAACAGGGGAGCATTCTGGTTTTCCTTGCAAGTTGGGCCTGCTGTTGTTGTTTCACTTCCTCATGCGTCAAAAAGAATATCCAAGAACAAAACCAGCAACTCTAATTTTGTTCCTCTCAACCAAATTAAGTCTTAAATACAGTCTGCTTGACAGTGGATATCAAGTTTTAATAGTAACTGAAATCCTTTTGAGAGGACACCTAACTCACTTCTCAAGGTTAAAAAACCCACTTGCTCATAGGAAAGAAATGGGATTAATTTTGTTCTGTAATCCACATCTTTGCAGACCACTCCATAGAACACTAAGCCTGTCATTCAACTGAAAATCTCCTTTCTGCTTGGTAATATGATAACATACTTCCTCAAACCTACAGATATCTCAGAAGATTTATTAATAAAACAGAGCATCACTGAGACTCAGCCTTGTAATGTTCACACTACTCCCACAGGATATTTGCAGTTCACTTTGCTGAAACACATTTCAAACCTTACAGAAATATCCACTGTTCAAGTTTATACTCCTGTTTTCTTACTCATGATGCTACAGATATAGTACAAAAAGTCAAGCACCTCCTTGGTTTTCAAGTACAAAAATAAACCACTTGCAATTAAAAGGTGGATAATTCTTATCCAAGGAGATGCAGACTTCCCACTCCTTCTTTGAAATGTGGCAACAGCTCTTATTACGTGATCCCACACAGACACTCACACAACTATAATGTTTAGAAACCCTACATATGGCCTGGGACCCTACCAGCCACTGTTTGATGTAAAAGGATGGCCTCTCCATCAAAGAGCTCATCACCACAATACACGACTCACATTACAAAACAGGTGCTGAACAACCATCAATACAAACCTCAAAACCCCCTGACAAAAGCTTCCTGTGATGCCTTTTCCCATTGCTGTGGATGGATGGAGGTGGGAGCCGGTTGTTCCCTAATCAGTGAAACAGAAGGCTGCAGCAGGTCCCCATAAAGTTCTTCCAAAATATGAAGGAAGAGAACACCAGCCCTGGAAGTGCTTCACAGACTATGCACTACATTTCAGCACTTCCCACTGGGCAACCTGAAACATCACCTGCAAAATACTTACTGTAAACAGTACAAAGTACTTCTGGTTATTCTCTCCTACACAGTTATTGACCCACGGGCAGTGATGGTCCATTTTCCGAATGCACCTCTTGCAAACACTGAAAGAACATAGGTCTTCATTAACGGCACTTTTCACTCCAAGAACACAAAATTTTACAGGGGTTTGGGGGACAGAGAAATTCAGCTAAAGAATCAGAGGTGAAATCTGAACATAATAGAATTTACTTGCCACCATATTTATATTTGTGGTTTGCTTACTTGACTAAGCCTATTCAAAATGAACAATTTTGAACAACAGCCTGTTCAAAATGAACAACATACAATACCAAACCACCATTGCAAAAATTAATGCCACACACCAGTGATTCTTTCCAAAATATGGTTTGAACAATACATTTGGACAGATGGAAAAAATCTGTGTTTAGTTTTAATCTATTTGGCCTGCAAAAATGTCTATAGATTAAAACTAAACATAAATCACAAAGACACAAAAGGTAGTAATGAATAAAGATACTTCTCAGAGTTGCTGACAACAGATTCAGGTTTATTTGCAAACATTTGCTGGTAGCAGGAACTTGCAATCAAATAAGGCATTAGAAAAATTCTTGACACCAAGGTAAGCCACATACTAGCAGAAAATAGCTGTGGCAGTCAGTCAGGAACATGGTAACACAATACACATTCAAGGTGAAATTAGGTCTTAAAGTACTTCACAAAACCAGACTAATGAAATCAAAATACAAATTCTTGCCAGCGTGCAAATTGTGGCTGGAAGTAAAATAATTAAAACATTACTACTTTATATATTACTCTGAACATCATTCTCTTGCTTAGTCAGTAACTGCTTCAGCACACATAATAAAGGAAGTCTTTTTCTCTGCTGCTTTCTCATGGGATAGGAGACGAAAGGCAGTCAGTCTCCTGATACCACATTGTACAAACAAGCACAGAAATCAAATATGAAAAAACACAAAACCCCAAAGCAAACAAACAATAGACCTAGAAAGAAACAGCCATTCCAGAACAACTCTGGCAGCAGTGAAACAAGAAGGGCTACGCGCTCTGCTAATTTTATTTTTATTCTTATAACAAAAAGCATCTTGACCTTAATAAAAATAATAAACTTCAACACCCAAACACTTAAGGGAAACTCAAATGAAAACAGAAATATGTTCTTATCAGCATGTATGAATAAATAATAGAAAATCTCTCTGTCAGAACAGCCTTTCACTCACTTTAATTGGTGGGAGAGCATAATCCCCAAGGATATGTGCTATGCCTGAAAAACAAATGAGTTGCTATAGGCCTGATCCTAAATGGAAGTCTAAGCAGGCAGATCAGGAGCTCCTTCTCCTTAGGCAGACATGGGTGCCCTACCACCTGTCAGTCCCATGTGTAGTGGGAAAGAAGAAAAGCCTTGTTTTGCCAGAACAAGCAGCTTAAAATTATTTGGAACTACACGGGGTCTAAAATCAGCAGGCACGGTAAAAGAAATTTATCTGCCAGGTAGTGTACTTTAAAGACAAGTATTTCTCATTGTGATTAAAAAAAAAGGAAGGGGTAAGGTGAGGAAGATGGTGAAAGAGGAGGATGCCTCCCTGTGTGCAGGATTGCACACACTTCCCTTGGGCTTTAGGAGAGGTGAGCACCCAAGCAACCCTCCAACTGCTCCCGCTTCCCCAGAGGGACAACCTGGAGCAGCCAAGACACAGATGTGAAAGAGACAGGAGAGGAGGGTGGGAGGGGAGTTTTATTCCATGCACACATACCAAAAACAGTTGGATGAAAGTCAGAACAGGAAGCTAGCCGGTGGAAAAGGAAACACAGAAACCATAACTAAACACTACAGGGAGCAGGGATTGCCCATACTCAACACTTCCCCCATTCAACCACCCAACTTCCAAACGCTGGCAGGACTACTTTACTGGGTACAGGGGACTCACTAAATAGCACATTCATCAAAAACACCCTGGTCCCTCTGGCATACAGCTAGCAGTATCTGCATATGCTCAACCTTGGTGTCTTAAAGTCTAATAAATCTCCCTAGGCCACAAAAAAAAATTGTCCGACTGAAGATTCTCAATAGCATCACTGGTCAGTGGATCACCTTCCCAAATCTTAATGTCTAAAAACTTATCTTAAAGGACAGAATAAAGTACCATGGTGACAAGGCTTTGTGTTTAGCCAGAGTCCTTTTCATTTACCTATACTGTGAGTCATCATCCAAACAGCATTTTAGATGTGAAGTTTCATTCATAATTGAAAAGTTGTCACAGGGGATTTTACAGCAGCATTAATAAGTGATAGGCATGACCACATTGATCCTGCTGAATAACCGACTCCCAGTTTTCATTAAAATTACAAAAGCCCCAAAAACAACAAAAACAGAAAAACATTTGCAAACAGAAGCTCTGAAAACAAATATGAAAAAAGCAAACAGCAGGACAAGTTTGCTCAGCTCATTACCATGTATTTCCCTCCCCACAAGACCACTGCATGAATCAGCACTAGCCCAGGTAAGAGTTCTCTCTGTATGTATTAGTTTTTGAGTAGGCAAGGAAGTGACACCAGTGCAAATTTATTAACTACTTACTGGAAAGCAGGTTCGCTTGCTTTAAAAGCAGAAGAGAATTTTAGGAAGTAGTTATTTTTTTTTGCTCACTGCCTTTAGTACTAAAAAGCTCACTATCAGTTACTCTCTTCCAGGAAGTTTATCCTACCAGAAAAAGAAAGGACATGACAGATCAGTAGGCATACTGATCTATCACACAGCACAAAACAAAGTCACAGTACTCAATGAAAATGTGGTAGTCTGAACTATTAAAAAAATATACAGTTACCTGCACTTCAGTTTTAACTTAATGATCACTTCTAAATAGAATACACAGTTAGACAAATGGGTTTGTAAATTAAAAAAAAAGGAAAAGACACTGACCCTTTGGGGGACGTTTTATGGATTTCTATGCATTTTGCGATAATGTCTCTTTTCAAGTCATGTTTACATGAAGATTTATGGAATGTCAGTTAGAAGTCTGGAACCAAGGCAGCATTCAAAAATTTTAAGTGTTTCTCACTTTGCACGAAGTAGCCCCAGCCTCCTATATACAAAAATTTGTCAGAAAAGGTATGAGATTTGTTCTGAGAAGCTTAAATGTGTCTGGTACTATTGGCAACAGAATTTGTATGTCAATCCCTCAACTGACCCGCTCCAGTCTCAGACTGCAATAACAAGGTACACTGGTGAATAATTCTTGAGGTCTTGGTGAAACAGCCATCCTCAGAACAGACTTTACCTGCAGTGATGTGCTCTGTCTGGTTTGATGCTACAACACTTTGGGCACTTGTAAACCACCTGTCCTGGTTTTAGCTGTAAACTCTCGATGAACTCTTTTGTGGCATTACCTTTGGGTACAGCACCCTGCAGGAAAAAAAAAAACAAACCAGGAGATTAACTTGTGGGCATTATGGCTGCTAAGAACAACAAGATGACTTAAAACTATGGGAGGGGCAGAAAGAAGGAGAAATAAAAGCTTCCCTAAGATCAATAGACTTTCAAGAAGAACAAGACGATTCAGAAAAGAAATTTAAATGTGGTCTTAAAATATGGAACCACATACTTACACATAATTTTGGTGGGGCTTTTGTTGTTTTTTTTAAACATCAATAAACCTCCACTTAAGAAATTAGTCTTTTGTAGTCCCATAGTAACCTTTAAATATTTAAGAATCCTCATCCCTCTTTTCACATCAACAAATTTATCATGTCAGTGTTTCATATCACACACTGAAAACTGCAGATGTTTTATGCCAGTAGAAGCAGCTTCTTTAGAAGTATTGCGTACACTAGGAGTTGCTGGTAAATAACTCATGTATTTATAGTTATGCTTCCATTACGTATTTGCTATTTAAACTGGGGTTTAACATTCAAACAGCGAACACTAAGAATTGTCACATCTGAGTAAGACCAGGTAAAACATTCTTAGCTGTGCAACTTCCACTTTAAAGTGTATCTTTAAATAGATAGCATATTGCTGCTATAGGAGCCCAAGTTCTTGAGTTTCCAGTCTTTATAGGGGCAAAAAAAAACCAAAACAAAACAAAACCCAACAAACAAACTAAATAAACTCCCTCTGCTCCAAGAAAAAAAAAAAGAAAGTGCCATGAAACATGGTGTATGAAATCACTGCTGGTACATTGGCACAATTTACTTCTGTGAATTTAAGGCTTTTTTAATTGAAATAAAACGAGAGATGCAGTATTTCAATAGATTTCTGATGGAAGAGTCTCTTTTCAATAATCTGTACAACCTCCTAACAGCAATAAACAGGAGTGATACACGAGTGAGAGAACTACACATTAAACCAGTAGTATTGGGCTTTTTTAAGCAATCTTTGGGGAGTTTTTCCCAATAGGCCTAATTTAAAAATTGCCAAAACCTATTTCCACAAAATTGCTACAACTCATGTTCTCTCTCTTAAGTATGCAGCAAAGCTCAAAACTTTAGGAATGTTCTTAGCAAAGACCCATTGGAAGCAGTTCCTGAAATGCAGGACACACACTATCAATTGTGAAGAACTGAGTTGTTCATTTATTTATAATAGGAATTCTGCTTGTTTGCCTCAGCAGTGCATTTTGTTTCATTCTCATCTTACATATGCCCCTGGTTCTCCCATGTCCTGGAAGCTTCCTTAATCCCAGACTCACTGTCTGCCAGATGTTAGTGCATCCCTTTTCTGTAGCTTCCTTCATGCATTTTATTTAACTGAATTTCTCATTATAAAAATGAAACAAAATCCCACTGGCTCGCCATCCACATACATAAATCCCACCTCACACAAGGAATTAATATATCTTTTCCCAATTACTCTCAACAAATTGTATCTGCTTCTACAACCCTGCTCCAACTAGTGCATTTCAAAATACAGATTTTGTTTCACAAGAGCTGCTGCTAACTCTGCAAAATAATTCCAGCCACCTGAAGGTCCCTAAGCACAAAAATCACACAACATACAATAATTAACAACCACCCTTAGGGTACAAACTATCTTAACAAACTGCTGCAATCCTCTGTTTCCGAGTCCAGAGGATAAAGTACTGCTTATACTTCTGCTCAGCAGCAGTAGCATGCAATTCAACAGTCTTCACCACAAACTGTGAGAACACCCTAAATCAAGCCATTTCTGTAGCACTGAGGCTTCTGAAGGAGCTGGAATCTAAGGAACACAGATTTCACTGAAGTCTGCACCTAACAAGGTTTCAAGGGGGAAATAACATTTGGAAGGGGCAGAGTTACCAGAGGCACACCACCACTCCCAGCAGCAGCAACATTTGTGAGGAAGGAGACAGGAGAAGTCTAAGCTTGTCTTTCCTTCCACTGACTACTGGAGATGGGGTTTAGAACTGAGTCTACTGTCCAGAGGTTATTAAGTAAAATGAACCATCACAGGCCATTTGGAATTAGCATCAGGGTGCTAAACTTTATCTTGTCACAAACTGAAAGATGAGAAAGCAGCAGATATGATCTCTCAAAGCAATATCTGAAGGATACATACAAGGGGACCTCCCAAGTCTGATGCTTCCCAACTTGCCTAAGAACTGCCATCTCTTAGCATGCTCAGACTGTATTTATTCCAGCCTTGTCCAATACACTCAACAAAATCAGTAGAATGAGAGATGGTAACACAGCTTTTCAAAACAACACATATTCTGCTCTGTTCTGCTGAAGCAATACTTGCCAAGGCAGACAACCAAAACCAGCTTTTCCAGCTTTCCTGTTTGTCAAGACACAACAAGCCACAAACACAAGATCTGCCACTGGGGAGAAAACAGCATCAGAGAGAAACACTCTCCTTCCCAGTGCAGGAAGAGGAGCTGCTCACACACCAGGAATCTAATGCTGGGTCCTTGATTTTGCATCCAACTTGAGTGGGACGAAAAATTAGCATACCACATCAGCAGCCTCACTCAGCAGGCTGACACACAAAAGTTATTTAAATCTGCCACTCACTCAGCAACTGATTTACCCAACACCTAGCAGACAAGAAAAACACCACCTGTTTCTTTCCGAGACACACAGAGAGAGGTGTATACTTACTGGATCTGTCAGCATAGCACGAAAATGTGACGCCAAAGCGAGGAAAGCCAAGGTGTTGAACAGTGTGCCATTGATGACACTATAAACATAATCTCTCGATGGAACTAGCATGACAAGAAGGACTACAAAGTCGGCATAGAACACCAGCATCCAGGTAACGACAGCACATGCAATACCACAGCCATCTCGAATAAACCACATTGTTCCCAGGGAAGCGCGGCTAGGAGGTGGAACACACTTTTCCGGCTGGAGGTATTCAGGTGTCCTTTCAATATCTCTGAAGCGGTGGACTGGAGAAATCATCATAGGCTATTATGTCCATACTTGCATCTGAAAGAGAGTCAGAAACAGTGTTCACTGCTCTACCAGACACCCAGACCTCTGTTCACATAACTGCATGGTCATCACATGGGAAATGTGCAGAAAGTGAAATGAAAAAGCAAAAAAGGTAAATAAATCAAACACAAAATAATGGATTGAGAAACCACACTCCTGCACTTATCGGAACACTCCTTACTCAGAAGACTCTAAGTGCTTTTAAGAAGTGCTTAATTACACACTAGGTCTACCTGTGTGCCACCTCCACCTCCCTAAGTGGAAAGGCAACAAGCATTTTAACGAAGAAAAAGTCATCAGGTAGGAGCCAACAGGTGCGGCCACAACAGGAACTGAAGCAAGAACTTGGCACCGCCACTGCCACTTTGAGGGGGAGAAGAGAAAGTCCTGTCACACCTGGCAGGGTCCCTTTTTGCTGCTTCGTATTTGGAGAAGGAAAGGGTCTTTCCTATGCATCCTGGGAAACTAAGCAAGCAGAAGAGGCTTCCCTTCTCCTTACCCATTGACTCCCAGTTTTGGGGTAAAAGTGCAAAAACAAACAGCTGTACAGTCAGATTTGCAGGAACTGATTAAGACACAACCCAGAAAAGATCTTGACAGGAACTTCTAGTCTTGGCTGGAGGACATAATTTCCCAACAACAGTTGTCCCCCACTCTCACCTCCTCCTCTGGCCTTACATCCCTTGGAAGTTTTCTGCTTTGCCATGCCTCTCCTGCCACCTTTGCTCCATCCCTCAACAGCATTTGCTTTGCTTCCCATTTTCCAGTCAACTCCACTCTACTGTAGCAAGAGGACCAACACTGACCCTGTCCTCTCCTCCCCAGCTCTGCAGACACCTTGTCTATCCAGAGAGTAAGAGCCATCTTGTAACCAGGAACAGTAATGCTCCAGGTATGCACCATGCTTGTGTTTCTATGTAACTCCGACCAAATGCAGGCATTGGAGAAAACAGAGAAGGTGCTCCTAAGTCTTTGGCAAGGCATCAATCCATCTGCACTCAATCCATCCACCACTCAATGCTGGAGCACACCTGGAATGCTACGCTTTGAAAGTAGCTCTTTATACACCCAGCAAACTCTTCCGAACAACTTCTACTCAGAGTATTTGCTCAGTGCTCTAAAAGCTTCATAACACTACACCCTCTAAAGACCCACCTTTTACAAAAATGGTTACAATAATTCCACTACCAAATGCACTGAATCACAGATCCCTGAATTGAAGGTATCAGCCTCCTGCTATTTCCAAATGTAAGGCTTATTCTCATGGCTTTGCAAAACAAGTGTTCATTATGCCATTTAAATTCAGAGAAAATGTTCACCACCAATTATGCCTTCAGCCAAGAAAGTTCACCCTAAAGCTATTTTAGTTATTAATTGTTTAAAAATTGACATATTTTACATAAAACACAGTGAGAGAATTGCAGAAATCCCAAGGACTTAAAACTTTTTTCCAGGTTCTATGGCTAAGTTCCAAGTACAAGAAGAAAGCTCTACTCCTCCTAACACCAATCTAAATGGAGATGCCGCTGCCCCTATCTCAACAGGGAAGGAAATGATAGTTTACTTTTCAGCTGTTATTATAAGAAGACCAAATTCATAAAAGGACAATTATTCTTTCATGGCCAAAGAATAAGGTTATTAATGAGCAGGATGATTAACTACATCCAAGCACAGAAATGATGAGCTTTGTGCGCTTGAGTGCGAGTGACACGAACAGAGGTACTGGAACTGCTGAGAAGCAAAAGCCAGAAGCACAAACTTCCTAAGTGCACAGAAGCTGATGAACCAGACAATCTACAGTATTTGTTTTCTAACACAGCTTGTATAAATAAACTAGGAGAATTAAGTATTTTCTTATCTTTCCACTTTGAACATTTAGTATGCTGCCAAACAAGTTTAAGATGGTTTATGAATCTGAAGAGAGTCACGTGGATTAATGTTAAAGCATATCAGTCTTGTATTTATACACACATCACACAGAACAGAAATATCATGATGAAAATGTCCTTGTGAGGATGTCATTTACTTTGAGAAGAAAAAAAGCCCACAACAAAAAACCCACTCCTCATTCACAAAATTCACATAACACGTTGTAATTCCTCTGTATTTTAACCACAGCTATAATTTAGCCTCATGATTCCTGATACTTAGAAAGACAAGCTATGTAATTTTTGTAAACAGTGATTACCCAAACAATCTGGCAGTCTAAGTTCAGATAAATCTATACATACTAGTAGATGCATACCTTTTCTCCTGTTTTTCACAACTGCTATAAGGACAACTATGTATTCAAATATTCACACAGACTTCATAAGTATTTCTAAGACTTAGCTCTTCCACTCCCTCAAGGAAACAGGTTAACCTTCACTGAATTGTTTAATCAGCTTATTAAAATTGCTATGCTTGTTTGCCAGCTCAAAATAAAACTGACATAATTAAAGACTCACACCTGACAACAGCGTTTAATTGACAAGAACATCACATTACATTAAAAAGTAAGAAAGAAAACTGTAATTTGGGTGTTCAACTTGCAATTGAAAGTTTACACTTGACACATCAGGTGCAGTAACAAGCTGGGACAGTCCTGAACACAGACTCTCAGGATTTTTTGCCTAGACTCTGTGCCTTTTTTTCCCCCTATGGTTTTGTATCCCAAAGCAAAGGAATCAAACAGTCACGGGAAAAGCAAACTCCTATTTAACAAAGGAATCAGTCTGACAAGTCACCTTAAGGTCAGTATTAGCAAAGACTGACTGAAAGCTGAACAAATACACAGTGATTAAGCTGTGGGTTTAGTCCTGAACAGCACATTTCAGCAGTGAAATAAAACTTAATCTCTCTTGCAAGTGCAGGAAGTAGTTTCACTCCAATAAAAGCTCTACAGCTCTCTCTCAGAAATATTACTGAGCTAAACTGGGAAAAAAAGAAAAAAAAAAAAAAAGAAAAATCTATTGCTATAACTGTCCAAAGAGAAACTGGAAGGAGCCCTGATGTCATCACAGTTTAAAGTCTGGAGACTCATTTCTGTAATGAGTTAAGAGGACAGAGCACAGGCCCCTAAATATGGCTAGAGGACCATTTTGTTATTTAATGTATTCTGCCATTTAATGCTTGCTTTAGAGGCCTCATTAGGCAACAAAATAAATCAGTACATAAACGCCATACATTGTTCAAGAAATACATATGTGTTTTACTGTTCATTATCTTAAGAGTCAAGCTATAGGAGCTTAAAACCTCAGTTTCCCTCCTACATGACCCAGTTAGTGGGGTTTTTTAATTCCTTGTTCTTATATACACAAACATCTGTTTTGGTTTATGTTGTCCAGTTTGGTATCTTCAGATAAGCAATACAGCAACAAAGAAAAGGTTGTAGCAGGGTGGAAGCAGTAACTTGCCCTTACTGGTTTGTCTTTCAATCACGCTGCATATGAACTTCATTTATAATACAGATGGAATATGTCAGCTCCTCCTGCTCTGGAGCAAACAATATGTAAACAATGTAGGCAAAGGCCTTAAGGACTTAATCTCGGTGTCAGGCTACAAGAGAGGCCACTAGGTAAGTGTGAGATACAATGACAACACACACACACCAATTCAGCTTAATGACATGACAGAGCAAAGACCTTTTTTTTAATCTGGGGGCAATTGGCAATACAGGAACAATCAAAAAACATGTAATAAATTAATTAGAAATTTAAACAAAAATGAAAATCCACTTCCTGCAACAATGAACACTTAAAATATACTATTACACCCTATATCAACTGTCTTTTTAACTTGCCATAAGCCACATCAAAAAAATCTGGTTTTTAATGGCCTGTGACAGCCAAAGAATTTGCTACGAATGTATAAACAAATGATGTGGGCCTTCACCCAGTAAGTGCCTGAAAGCTACCAGAGGTTCTTATGTAAAACTTACAGCAAGCTTAAAACCACCATCATTGTGAACCTGCTGATTTTCATGTAATTATTCATGTCAGTGAAGTCAAGCACATGGGTATGACTTGCAGAACTACAGCATTACTACGTGCATTGCAACCATTTCCTCTATTACAAGTCCATTAACACTGAACTCTGGGAAGAGGTTACATTTTCATTCTGTCATATGAACTAGGTGAATTTCAAGTTCTGCCAACTACATGAAAACAATAGTGGGGGAAGAAAAGAATAAAAAGAAGAGAGATCAGGGCAGATCACGGACCTTTTTTAGGTTTTCAGTTTGTTATTTACTTTGAAGAAATACTTCCAAACAGCTTTTATAACACACAGAGTACCTTGAGAGCTGACAAACAACACTAAAGTTAATTTTTTTTATCATCAAAATGAAGCAGACATACATAACTAGTCATACTGTATTCACATCAGCTAAGGCAGGCAATCTAGATCCACAGGACAAATGTCCTTTTAAACAAAATCAATCAGCTCCAGACAGACAGAAACTGCAGAATTCATTCTTAAGTTTATTTCATTTTTTCTGCACATAAAACTGCATAGATTAAAACACTGCTTATTTAATCCTCCTCTGCAAGAGACATAAGAGAAGGTGAGTTTCCTAACTAAAAGGGTTTTTATCTATGCTTCTCCTGCCACACTTCCATGCAGCCAAAACCTAACAAGCTTGTGAAAACTTGAAAAAGCAGAGATAATTAAAAAATATCAGTATATGTACTTTCCTAATGGCTCCTGCAAGGCCTAAAAAACTTTATATGATCTCAGGAGTAAAACAAAACAGACCAGCTATGCTGAGAATTTCAGGCAGTCTCCTGCAGATCCATCCAGATATCCATCGGCATGGCAGTTTCCAGCCTCTGGTTTACAAAACCCTGGAGGGTCAGTGGGACACTTCTAACAGGTCTGTAAATGGCAGCTAAAAAAAGCAAACCTATTATTAGCAGGCTCAAATTTGCTACAGAGAGCCGTACTTCCATTGGAATAATTCCAGGACTCCACACATGGTTAAAAATACCAAACAAACAACAAACAAAACAAACCTG